GAATTGTTCTAGAAAAAACCAAAAATCATTTTGGATGTTTTATCTCTGATTAGTGGAGACTGTCCTCTGGGGTTTCTGCACATTTGTATAGCATGACTTTGAGGAAGTTTTCAAAGCTTAAGATTCCCTCAGAGATCGAGGTACTTTTCGATCTGTCCCATATTATGAGTTCCTGTAGGGCCACTCCGCCGTAGTAGAGGAAGCTAACACTTACGTTGTCTTGAGGAAGGATATCGCTTGCCATGGCAGAGGGTAGCTTTTGCATCAGCGCTTCTAGGCTGGACTTATTTAACTCGTAGTTAGGCAATGTATAGGTCGCTCACCAGCACAAAATGACGGCCGCTTACTCAAAGTTCTTAAGGCGCAGCCGAAGGTAACCACCGGCAAGTTGGCGACCTCTCTAGGCTCCATCTGACTGACAACTGCCATGCTTCTCCGCAATCTCGGTTATCGGAAAAAATTTTTGTGAAGGATGCCTCATGAGTTGGACCCCTCTGACAAGTCATACCGAATGACCGTGACTGAGTTTTCTTTTCCTTGTACACAGCGCAGGAACTTTCGTGAGATCTTATGGTTGGTAGCGAGTGGTGGAGTCCTTGCGTACATCATGCACGTGTCCCTTGCAGGATCTTTCGAACAGAAAAGTAGGTTACTTAGCCAAAAAAGGTGTGCATGGGATAAAGATTTCAGTGTGTTATTGGTGGGACTTCAAAGCGGTATCACTAGATACCAGCACCGTTGTAAGGCCCACAGTACATCTCAAAAGACTTTAAAATATGGATGACGTCACGCTTGAATTGATTGAGAAATACTCAATTTTTCTTTACTAATGCGGTAATGCGAGGACCGCTGTGGGGATCAGGCTATACCAAAAGATCATGCATTCCGATCAGAGCATGCGGCCGTACGCAGATTATTTGACAAAGTTAGCAGCCTCTATTTACCACCTCCTTTGGTCACTATCGCATCCTTCAAAAAGCAAAAGTTCCGAAAATCAACCTCAACTCGAGAATGAGGTCCACCTCTTCTTTTTACCACAATTGTCGTAGTTCTATGAGAATGGAAATGAGAAGCTGTGCAAAAGAAAGGCACTAGTTCTAGTCATCAATTGCGGTTACCTTGTAGATTGGAGATGTCCTTTACTGACCAGAAATTTAGTTTGAAAAATTTGGTCAAAGTGTCGCAGGACTTTTCAAACAACCTAATATAAGGAGACGCTCTAGTACGTCTCATTTGCAACTGAGTAACACCCGCATGTGACAGCGGATATACGGTGGAGTTCTGGTGAGTGCCGTTTCGTATTGTGTAAGCTTTTCTAATAGAGTTCGACAGTTCGATAATGTGTTTAGAGTTCTGAATACGTTATCGAACTGTTAAGCTTGGTTGGGCGCTTAACGGGGTAGTGTTCATCTTCTTAACTCGAAAAACGTTTAGACCTCTGAGGAAGACGACCCTGGCGAAATGTTAGGCCGATACCACCCAAAAACCTCGAGAGGCAAGCGAATCACATAACGATGCCGAGATTACAGCAAGAGAGAAGCTGGAGAATATTGTGAAAGATTTTATGAGTTGCATATAAGGCCAGATGTCCAAGGCAGCGTAGAGCTGATTACGAGTCCAACGTTTATTTTTGGCGCTGGCGCCATTACGCGCCAATTTGGCGCCATATTGGCGCGTAATGGCGCCAGCGCCAGAAATAAACGTTGGATTCGTAATCAGGACCTCAATTAACCCCCATATGCAAGTTTTCATCGACTTTGGTAAAAAAAGTGGTGGGCGCCAAATTGGCGAATAATGGCGCCAGATGACCCCAGCGCTCTAAATGGATGTTATATTCCTGATCAGCGCATCGAATTACATCTATAGGCAACGTTGCAGCAAAAAATTTTTTCGAGTTTTTTGGGGTAGGAATACATAGTTCAATAGTGCCAAGCAATTGTATCTGGTCTTGACAGAAATTTTTTTCAAGCCGCGGAAAAAACTTCCCGACTGTTGACTTTCGTAATTTCTCCCGTTTCACGTGCGTTATGCCCCCCCCCCCTTCTTTTCCCTTGTTGGCGGCGCGTCAAACTACACTGCGTCCCAGAAGTATACTTCCACCCATAAATCTCACAATATCCCTCCCTACACGACGTTTTCAAAAAAAGCCTCCAGGTATAAAATGTGGTAATTACCAGTACCAATTTACATGCCAACTCCGAGAACTGACTTTCCAGAGCAACTTCAAATTTCTTTATTTTTTGGAAATTTCTCACTCTGACAATGTCCCACAAGTATACTTCCACCGCATATTTTCCCACTGCGTCTCATTTTTTTTCGGGTTAACTTTCTCATCATCACTACCTTTGACCTTTTCCAGGTTACGGCGAGAGGGCTTTCACTGCCTGACTTCGAAAAGGGCGCAAAGAAGGCTCAAGGACTGTCGAACCGTCGCAAGAGAGTTGGGCCGCAGTCATTATGTTATCAATCATTTTGTCAGATCCCGCAGGATATGGAATCAGGAAGAGTTCTGGGCGTCCTCCTTTGCTGTCTGAACGAGATAAACGTCGTATCCTGAAAGAAGCGTCCAACTCCACGATGTCATGCAGGGAAATAAAGTCATCTCTGAAACTCAATGTCTCGAAAAATACTGTTTGGCGTGTCTTGAAGATGTCAGAATTCATCATCAGAGAGAAAATGAGGAAGGCACCGTTCCTGACAGAAGGCCATCGTTAAAACCGACTCGCCTTTGCTAGAAGATGCTGCCGAACCGACTGGAGCAAGGTTAGCTTTCGGCTGCAGTGTCCCTCTGCTTGTCTTTTCAGTTTTTTTTTCTCTAGGCCGTTGTTTTTTTTCCGATGAAAAGAAATTCAATTGCGATGGCCCAGGTGGGAATCGATTTTACTGGCACGATCTGAGGAAAGATAAGCTCAATTCTTCAAGGCGGAACTTCAGAGGGGGTGATGTCATGGTCTGGGCTGCGATCGCATCAACAGGACCTTTGAAGCTGTGCTTCGTATCGAAGAAAATGAACTCTTCCGACTATGTAGAGGTAATGCGACGAGGTCTGTTACCTTTCTGGCAAAGAATACGGCATGAAAGTCCTGTATTCGTGCAAGACACTGCACCAATCCGTGTCAGTCGGAGCACTCGAGCATGGTTCCACCGTCATCAAATCACTCTTTTGCCCTGGCCAGCGAATAGCCCAGACCTGAACCATATCGAGAATGTTTGGGGCTTCATGGTACGCAGGATATATGCGCACAATGCGCGAAGAATGTCTGTTCGCTCAAGGAGGCTATCATCGATGCATGGCACCATGTCGAAAAAACACTTATAGACCACCTATATTCGAGCATGGACAACCGCATTTTCGAACTTATTCGAAAGAATGGGGCTGCAGTAGATTATTGAAATGACGATTTATTAAATTTGTTGTACACTTGTTGTTTTCTGAATCGATTCGTTTAGTGGAATTATACTTGTGGGACATTGTCAGAGTGAGAAATTTAAAAAAATAAAGAAAGTTGAAGTTGCTGTGGAAAGTCAGTTCTCGAGTTGGCATGCAAATTGGTACTGGTAATTACCACATTTTATACCTAGGGGCTTTTTTTTGAAAACGTCGTGTAGGAGGGGATATTGTGAAATTTATGGGTGGAAGTATACTTTTGGGACGCAGTGTAGATTGTATATGAGGGGATCACACCCTGAGAGATCTATCATTTTGGTGCTGTACCCTGGTCTCAGGATTGTCTTAGGCCCATTCTTCACACTAAGTGAGCGCCCACGTGACGGAGCAACAATGTCTTTCTGTCTAGTCCCTACCGGTGAGAAAGATTCTGGTTCGCCACAGCTCGCTTGCCGTCTGTAACACCAATATCTTACATATCTCCCATATCTTGAAACCTCCCATATCTTACAATAAATGACCGCTTGCAATTGGGATGACGGAAGCGGTGATTCAATCGACAAATCGAGCTCGCCTTACAGCCCCTAAGGGAGTTGTTTGAAAATTCCCTGGAAATGAACACGATGCCAATTTCACCAAGGTTCTCGGTGATGATTTAGACAAAACCATAGTTGAATGAGAAAGAAGTACTGCCCGGCAGAAAAGAACACGTTGAAGTACATCGACCAAACGCTCCGAATGTCAGGACTTTACGGAGTGATCGAAACATTCAACCCTTGAAGGCTTCAAATGTATCACTGAGGCTGGGTATCACAAGAAGGCCAAGTTATCGGTGAAAGACCTTAACCCAGGGGAACCTTTACCAGCACCTCACGCTTTCCGAACGAGTGCGCTCTAGTAACTTTCGGAGCGGGAATGATATTAGGCAACCAAAAAAATTCGTGCGTTTTTTTTTGTTTACTTTTATGAAGTATATTCAGTAAACTGGATCTAGTGGTAGGGTAACTTTGAATACATGTTAAGACATATGTCAAGGAGTGTCATTCAGTGTAATTGTTAATTTAGATTACTTTCAATTAAGGCGAACAGAAAAAGTTGTTGTTTTCCACCAGGACACTGCTAGACCACGCACTGCACGAGTCACTCAGGAAATAGCGCGACTAGGATGGGAAATTCTGCCTCATCCTCCGTACTCGCCAGACCTTGCTCCAAGTGACTATCATCTGTTTTTGGCCTTGGACAACAACATGAGGAATCAGCGATTTGAAAATGAAGTGGCTTTGGACAACGAACTAAAACATTTCTTTGATTCCCAGTAACAAGATTTTTACAAAAATGGAATATATGTTCTCGTGTCTAAATGGGAAAGTGTATTACTTGCAGGGTAATTATTTTACGGGATAAATCCAAGTTTAATCCGTTTTTTTATGTTATTATTTCTCTACCTTCAGAACCGCACGAACCTTTTTGGTTGCTTAATAACACAACTGGAAGATTTAATAAAACAACTGGAAATAGCTTGATTCGCGAGCATATATTGGCCACCTTGCAGATAACAAGGTACCACCTTCAGGAAAGACAGCAAGTGTGCATAGGAAGGAGTAACAAAAACTCACATGCCGAATAGAGTTCCTCCAAGATGAGCGGCGTGATCAAATAAACGGAACCTGAATGTGAGCAGCTTCGATACAGTAACATGTCAACGAAAACTTGTCGATACCGAACAATAACTTACTTGAACACAAGACCGGCCAAATCAAACAGCAAGATACTCATTATAGCTGATTGCGCGGAAAAATCAAAGCCAGGGATAAATACAATCTTGAGTCTTGAATCTGGTATTTTCATGCATGTGTATCCAAGAAGGGCAAGAATAGCGCCACTCTGAAATCACTTTCAAGTACTCACTATGAGAAGACTACACAAAAAAAGAGCTGTTCTACAGCAAAACAAAGTGCGTATGCGTGCAGTCGTGTCTGCTGTGGATGATGGGCGTGTCTGTGAGGCCAGCTTTGGCGCGCCACTCGCTCCACTAGTTGCTGAGGCGTGTAAGCGACATGGAGGAGAACGGCTGATACGAACGGTATGATACAGCCCCTCTCGCTTGTTCGCTTCAACGACAAGTGGGAAACGGGTTTGCCACCGCGCCAAGTACATTTCGCCTGATCACGCCCCTTCATCCGCAGCGAAAAAAAGGCTATACATGTGCGCTATATAATCGTTTCCAGAAGCCTCTACTGCTGAATGAAGTATGCAGTAGGATACGTTCGCATGTCGTGAAATCAGTAACGACGGGGGCATTATTTACTGGTTAAAGAGCTGGGGAGGTGTGATCACGGACCACCATTAAATAGAGTAGGGTCCTATGGGAGTTTGGACGTCAGGAAGGCGGAATTATGCCGTTATTGCCTGCGCTCCACAAGAGCAGGACTCATGCGAGCGGACTCAGCTTATTGAGCACAGACGCCGGGATTGCACATTGTAGTAAAGGTAACCCGTTATGAACTTGAAATTCCTAAATGACTCTTCGAGAACTAGGTAAAACACTATACTGAACACCCTGAAAGAAGCCCCTCAGCAGTTCTATGGTTCTGGTTCCCCGAAATAGCTGTCAAATCGATACTCTGTGGCTTGTGTACATCCCTTGGCTCGCAAATCATTTCATCGCATCATCCAGTACTGAATGCCATCCAACACTAGGGGTAGAAAGGAAACAGTAGGATAGAAGTGAAGTTCACAGCAGAAAAGACGTTGTTGAAAATCCGATGAATTCAGGCGTCAAAATGTAACTGCTGTGGAATTTTCTGTTTGAAATGAAAAATGATAGTCGATAATCGTAAAATTACTTAGCTTCCTACTCAGGCCAATGAGGAAAAAAAACATAATGGCACAACCAAAGTCCAAAAACCAAAAAGAACAGTACCGCTCCAAGGGCTCTTGTCGGGGATCTGGTTATAGCTTTGTGAGCGAGGCTAACAAACGACGAGAAAACACCGCCAGTCACATAGAGGGCCCAGAACTGCAAACGAAAACCTCACAGGAACAGCTCTGAGGAAACATTCGGGTAAAATACCTGACATGGTCCAAGGAAATTGTTGACCGTAACGTTTGTGAAAGACCAGACCACATACATATTCAGTCCAAGATGTATCAAACTCTGATGAGAAAACATGCTAAGTAGCATGGGAAGACAGAGACTTTCTGAAATTTTTGATCAAGTTTGAATAAAAAGGTGAATACTCTGAATTACTTACTGGAAGCAAAGCTATTACTGAAATAACGCCACATGAACTTGTCAAAAATTTTGACTTTCCACAGAGCGAACACGGCAGCATTTGCTGAAAATAAACCAAAATTAGGAAAAACTGATCAAATACGGCACTATTTGTTCATCCAGCCTGAAACCTGCTCATCCAGCATAAAATCTACCTCATTACGGTGAAAAGCGATAGATAGGAGAGATCGAGTGTATACGCTTGGAATGAACATGAAATAACATGAATTTTGAAAAAATATTTACCGCAGAGTAAGAAGAGAGCGCACTTATCGCCATCTGTCAGCTGTTCCCAAAATCCTTGTTTGGTGCTATTTAGCCTGAAACCTTCGCATTCATAACGGCTAAACGGAAAAAAAAGTGTTGACTGCTCTCATAATCTGAAACGAAGTTAGAAATTTGGGTTCTGTTCGGCCTGTGGGGCGCTTTTCTGGTTTCCTCAGCTTTATTACCTTGGTGAGATCTGTGAATCCTTGTCACACTGCCATGTGGAACAAACTTGGCCGAGCAGTTTTGTTGAGATCTGCTCTTGTAGACGCAGAAAGTAGATTAAGTAGAAAGTAGTATTAACAAGTATTGTTGCATTTGCAAGTCTTCACTGGTTTCCATAAGAGCCTCGCTAAGCTCCTTTCTTAGCTTCGCAGGAGTTACCAGTACTTAAAAACAGCCCCGCGATCAAAGCGACTCGTGGTCGCCTTTGCTGTGCAAGTAGTCTAGCCTCCAAGCTAGAAGACTGTTCACCTTTCGCGACTCTATTGTGAGCGTGGAGGCTGCTATAGCCGCTCAAAGTGCTAGTTCTAACTCCTCAGTCGGACCGCCTTTACTTGCTAGACGTCCTCCGACGGAGGCCACTCACTTGTTCTTAGTTGGGGCGGCGGGCATTGCTAATGCCCCTGGATAATTCTGCCCTCCTTCATTACAACTTACTCATTGGAGGTATATACATTCAATTCAACCCATTTCGCGAGGTGAAACGCGTAAAAAACACGAGTGACGCAATTTTCGTGATGCAAAACCACGACGCACAAAAGGTGCGCTACCGTAATCACAAATTCAGACACCGTTGATAAAATTCCTTTTTCCTTCCCAGAGTTTTTCCTCTGCGTTTTTGTTGTTTTCTTTTTGTATTCTTTCTTTTGTACTGGATGATATCAACTACTGCGAGATGTGATAGAGAGATTTGTGAGCTAGGGGCTGCACAGAGACCGCAGGGAGGTGTAACTGTGAGGGAGCGATTTTATGTTGTTCTGAAGAACGCTTCTTGCCTGTTATCTTCTTTGGAAGATTACTTATCAGCTGCTGTTCATAATTGGAAAACAGCTACCCATGAGACTTTTATCGCGGGAGCTGTCTTTAACGTCGATGGAAACTGGTAAGATGCTCCTTTATCCGAACAGCGGCCAACTTTGTACTGGCTTAGGAATCGCATCAGATAATCATGATATTTAAGGCAACGTACAAATTCGAAACTCAATTTTGCGTCTATGAGAAGTGTTAAGGTTTTCTGCTCCCTCAATCTTTGCAAAACTCAAGGCACTGGAACTGACTATGAGTGCAAAGTTGACAAAACGAGCGTCTTCAACGCCAATTTTTCAAGCGTGATCGAAGTGCTGGAACAGCAGAAGCAGCTTCAAATTAACCAGCAGCATTTAGAAATGGCTGACAAGTTATGGCCAAGGATTACTGTCCGCTGAAGTGCGTTCATACTTTGCATCGGCGTTTCGAGCGTACGGAAACGTTTTGAGCGACCAGGGTAAAGGTACTGCTTTAGCGTAAGTCAGCGTATGTCACCCTTTGAGCGTTTCAAGGGAAGGCAAATACGACCCCCCCCCCTCTGGGGATCACCAACGGCTTATCACCAACTGCTTATCACCGTTGGTGATCCAGCAGAAGGGGGGGGGGTGTCGTAGTTGCGCTGGGGAGGGGCCGTATTTGGTCCAAGAAGTTTTTTTCGACAGTTGATTTTCCTTGTTTCACGCACGTTGTTAAGGGGAAGGACTGGTACTTGCTCGTTGTTGGGAGGGGCGGGGGTCGTATTTGGCCTTGCAAGAGAAACGGAAGGAAGGCTTCGAGAAAAATATTACTTGATGACTGCGCGGTTTCCGTGTTTTACATGTGCTATGCCCCCTCACTTTCCCGCTCGACAGCTCGATCGTATCAGAGAAGGGAACTACCGGCGGCTGGGTCGTATGCGGCCTACCTTTTAGTGGGAGGGGGGGGAGGGATAGTCGTAGAGACTCGACCAAAATCCTAATGATGTGGCCTGTGAGGGTGGTTTTGACCTTTGAGTAATTGCTAACGTGGCGTAAGTTTCAAACGCTAGATCGATACCTATCTTACCTAGTCACCGCAAAGTATGAACGCAGCCTTAGGACGATCGATTCTCGATTCATGCAACTCAGGGCTTGGGTTTCAGACCTGGTTAATATGCATGGCATCGGGCGCTCTTACGATTACTTACTCTCACTTTTTTTAGTGCGAACAGAATTAGTGGTAACCGTTTTATCTTCAAAGCACAATTTCAAGTTAGAAAAATTTTACACCATTGCCCATTGACTATACTCAATCAAGTAATAGCATGAGCATGCGCTCTGCTGCATATAACAGGGAATCTGTGAGAGCATGAACTCACCCAGTGAAATTCGCTATAGGCAATCCTGTTCTGCTGTCGAAAGTGAATCCACTAAAACGAAACGAATGTTCCTTTCTTTTCCAATCAGCAACTGCAGCTATACCAAATGCAGCAGCTCCAACCTAAACCAGTAAGTCTGCCACGAAAAAGACGCTCAACGGAAATATCAACACATACCCCAACTGTGAATCCGAAAGCTTTCAGTAGATCTGACGCTGGACGAACTGGAATTGCATCACTCGCATATGGAGGCTGGTGTACTGCAAAACCAGCCACATACTTTCACCGAAAAAAGTCACATTTAGTGAAAGAAAGTGCAAGAAGAATGGTGCAGTGAGAACTATTTACACACCTTTGGTTTTGGCAAATTGTTTGATGTCCTGCTTACGCAGTCGTTCTCGCAAAGATTCACGTGAAAAACGATTAAAGTGGACGAAAGACTTGCAAAATCCTCGTAATTGGCGATTGAGGAGAACGTAGTTCGAGAACAACATATCTTAAATACAATTTTACAAGTTAACCACGAGCCTGAAGGTACAGTAGTTTGTTACAATCATAATTCAAACCAGGCAATATAAGAAGGCACTATTTACCCTTTATCGCACCAAGAAATCAGACCAGTTCTGACCAACGTTTTCTCCGCGGGCAGAATTGACTGAACTCTATGTTCAAGGGTTGTTTGACCTCCTAAACATGAAAATCTCATGCGCTTGGCACGATACCTCCTGGCGCCCGCGCTACAGGCGCCGAAGCCGAAACATCCCAAGTCACCAAATTGCTGAAAACTGCGCCAGGCACCGGCGTCAAAATAACCCAAATCACCGGCGCCTGTGGCGCAGGCGCTAGGAGGTTTTGGGCAAAGCGTATGTGAAATCCGTATTCAGGGGGCCAAGTTACTTCAGGAAATGATATTTGAGCCAAATCAGCCCACGGAGAAAGAAGTCGATCAAAAACTGGCTCCATTCTGGACGATTGGGGCAGTAAAGGGTAAATCCTGCCTAACAAGGATTAGGATGGGGAGAAACTAGAAATCTTCCAGTCGAAATGCAGTATATTCCAAATTAATTCCAACATCTTTCAACTAGCCCATCAACTTAAGGTACAGAGAAGCAACTGTGAGCCAAATGGGTGGGGATTTCTCCACGGTAGTGAGGAGAAGGAGACGTGGAGTGCTAGGACCAACTCCTTTGTGCAAAAGGATCTTCGCATTATATGAGAAGTGGACCTGTGAAGTTTTGACAGGACTTCATCAAATGACCCGGTATTCTGTCAAGGATTCATAGGATAGACTAGTCACTGTCTGTTGGCGCCGGTCACTAGCGCTACGGGAGAATCGTCGCTATCGAAGAACCAACTTGTTGGGCGAATCACCGTTTTGAGCAAATCGGCGTTCTGGACGCCGATCGATACCCGTTGTCCTTCCCGTCAGAACGCTGATTCACTCAAGAAGCTGTTCTTCCAGTACGCAGAGTCGCAAAGTATGAACGCAGCGTAAGGAATGGGAGTAAGAGCACTTTTCCCTACCTTCGATGCCATAAACTCGATGACAATTTGCCAACCCAAGCCAGCTTCCAGTGAGGCAGAAGTGCATAACGACTATGCCAGCCCAAGTTCCCAAACACAGCACGTCCTGCCGCTGGAGAAAACTTTCAGAAAATACGACTCGCCCTCCGCCTTCCCCCCCCCCCTTTACCTACCACTTCCTCTAGGTTTTCCCCAACTTCCCACCAGCTTTTCGGGACTTCCCTACTATTTTTCAAATTCTTGTAGAGATTTCGCTGTCGGGTTCAAGTGAGTGGATGGCTATATAGCGCATGTGAAACGGGAAAACCGCATAAAGTCTTCAACCGGGAAAAATTTTCCCCCAACGCCAAGAACGCTTCTTTCAAAAGCAAAATCGATCCCCGCCCCCAAGAAAAATCAAGTACTACCCCCCTCGCTGGAGGTTCCCAACGTGCGGTGTAGTCAGTTCCCAGACAAACCAACCTGTTTTCTCATCAAAACTTTTCCCTTAAAACTAAATGTGGTCCCAATCTCATTTTTCATATCAGAGGTTTAGGCATTTTTCCCTTGTGCCAAAACTCTGACAGGGATGTAGGATTCGGATTCGAGCCTGATGGAATTTTCGTCGTTAACCCAACAGAAAAAAAACAAAAAAGAAATGTCGAAAACAAGCAAGACCTCGGACCATATCCTGGGAAGAGCGATTACAAATGGTGATTACAAATGATTTCAAAGCGATTACAATTTTAAGGGCTCGGCATAATCCCCCCTCCCGTACCACTCAAAGCCATTTTGCTAGACATACTAAGTGTAAAGTTGCCATTTCAGTCCAACCCCTTTGTACGCGAGCTGGCGACAAAAAGGTGAGCCAAGAAATTTGGCGCAGCTGTCGAGCCCCAGGTAGTTTTGTGAAATCTGCTGGACCTACCCTACGAAGTGATACAAGTCAAAGTATGAGAGAATACTTGTCGACTCCTGTAAGGCAATGAACAAGACAATGGGAAGCTGCGAAAGTGCAAAATGCCCTTCCCCAACTGCATCAAAATTCTTCCCATCTTCCCAGCAGACCCCATGAATTTCCAGACAAAAGAACTGAAAATTCCCCGAGAAACTACAGTCTGCGAAAGGAAATCTCAGATACTATTTCCTGGAATAGAAATACTTAACACATTTTATAATACGTACCACCAGCAGTGATGCAACGAGTATCACATCGGATGTAAACGTGACACAATCTAGAAGTGCTTTACCTGATCATCAGGGTCATACTGTACTATGTACGAGCACGCATTTTCACACATTTTTCTACATATGCTGTTTCAAAAATTAAGTTTTGAAGGAACTTTTGAATTCTAGGACAATATTTCCAACCAGGGTTTTAAATTGGTCAAAAGTTCATCTGTTTTAGTTTGTATCTCGGAATTTTCTGTTCAGATGTTGGAGGTGAATTGGTTTGTGTCTGAAATAGTCTTGTCTAGTACGATCAATTATAACTAAGCATACTGCTTAATAACTCCTTTTTTGATTGTGTTTGTCTCTGTATGATAATTTCTGCCAATATTTCACAGAGGTTCATTGCCGACCGTTTTATCGGGAACAATTTTACGCGATTTACGGGCCCTTCTGAGCCTACTCTTTTCCAGAGCGTTTTTCTTTCAATGTATGATTTCAGCGTAAAACCACACATATGTATCCAAACCATTCTTACGCCGGTTATCATGCGAATACTATGGGTGCATGGAGCCAGGCCACTGTGCCTCAAAATTCACAGGTTCTTTTTCAAAATTCAAATTTTGTTTCAAAAGTTTTTCATTTTTTTTGACATTTCATTTGCACCATTTAATTTCAGGGAATTGGATACGCTCTGCCTTACGCTCATCCTGAGGTAACTACATACGTTGAAAAAGCGACGTTCCCCAATCCCTATGGAGCTTTGTATGCTGCTGAGAGTGACTATTATCGTCATTCATATGCTAATCCAGGTTCCCAACAGGTATTTATTTAAAGTTTTATCCTACTTTTATTATTATTTTTATGGGATTTTTTCTGTTTAATCATGAGTGCGTTTGATCTTCTTTGTTGACTGTGTTCTTCAAAACTGTAGCAGTGCGGGTGTGCTTCATTATGTTGCACGGGGTCCTGCTGCGAAGGCCATATGATTCCCGTACCTTTCATCCTTTCCTGGGTAAGTACAGGACAACTGCCGCCAATGAGTAGGTACCTGTAATCCACGAGTGGATACCCCATCGATTCGAAGGTATCATTCGCTATTGCCGTCATTTAGACCTGCACAATTTCCTGCTCACACTTTTCCAACAAGAGGTCATGATCGGTTGGCTAAGGGCCAAAGTAATAGCTGCAATCCTGAAACTTGTTGAGCAAATGATCTCGTTGATTATTTGCGAAAATAGAAGCTTAATTGCGAGGCATATGGGTTGCATATTATGAATAGAGCGTTCAGTTACAAACTTATAGTCGCTAAATGACTCCCTAGGGGGAGGCAAAAAACGATGGAGAATGCTCTGAGTAAGAACCTGGCAGCCATACTGGACGAGTTTTCCGGACATGCTCGTTTTATGCCAGACTGCGGATATGAAACTCAATCGCTTCAATAGCGCCACTTTTCTGTTTTTCTCAGCGCTCTCACGTCTGCGCGGCGTTCTGCGACCACAGTGACCTTTCACATTGCAACTTTTCACGCATAATAAGTGGCTTATCCACCCCGGTGTCCTCTCCCTTGGAAAAAATCGTCTCCCAACTCGCGATATATTTTTGTACTTCTTGATGACTCTGCGACCGCAGTTCTTTATTTCTCTGCGCTCTGGCCTTTCGCAGCAGGACCTCCGCCAAAAGCCTTAGTTGTCACGTAACCTTTTATACCAGCAAAACTATTTCCTGTCCCTCTAGCTCACTGGTCGTTCCTTCGCATCATCTAATTCTTACACCATCGAACAGTGAAAGGAACACGAAACACAGCGCAAGAACTGAACTCGTGGCACAAAATAGCCTTGAGTTTTGGTTGCCGGGACAACTAACAAGGGCGCTAGAACTAGCTGTTATGAGGATGGTTGCTCTGAATTTGAAACGGAAATGTCTTTTGTAACCTAGAACTGCCTTCCTCTCCGTAAGGCACATGAGTTTTGACCAGCCTTTTCGGTACTAGCATCATGCGTATTGTGAAGGAAACCTTAGGGATGATTACTGTTCTTCCTTCAAGATCCCATTTTTTGAATTTCACGCCTGATTATCTAAGATTTGTGACCATTTTCGAGCATTCTGCTCTTAAAATAGTTGCATTTTAGTGGTCGAAGGGCAGCCATGCTTTTTTGATGATATGCTGCAACTTTTTCCGAGCGTTTTCTTTCTGCTGACCTATCTTTCTAAAAAACGATGTTTCCTCTGAAGTATACCGTTCCTGTTCTTGCCAAGTTTTCAGTCCCACAGGAAAAAAATAAGGCGAATATGAGCCTAAAGTTCTTAAGATAAGACAAGCTCAGAGTCGACTGTCGATTTGGCGTTGGTCCGTACCTTTCCCTAATTCTGATATTGCGCAAGTACTTTTGTAATAAATATGTTATTGTTATCTATTTTTGCAGTAATATTCGAGTTCCATCTTCTATTCGAAATCCTATGAAAACAGCAAAATATTGTTTGATATTCAACTGATTAGCGAGTTTGGTTCATGTTTTTTTCCAATAATCATATGTGTTGAACTTTCTGTATTTTTTTTCCTATTACTACTTTGAGTTGAACTTCTTCCATCGTCTCATTCAACTTTCTCTATCCATCCGCATCCTTCCCTCAGCCTTATGAGTTCTATTACAGCTCAGCCTTAGTGGAAAGGAAGGTGCTTTAGTCAACCTGATGTTCTCTCGCTATAAAGGTCCAGAGGTTTTCTCATCGCATCATCTGGCCGAACATCTGACGGAGTGGAAGTAAGGAGGAGGGATAAGGAAGGAAAGAAAGAGAATATGTAGGGAAACAAGGGAGGGGGGGGGACGGTTGCAGAGTTTCCGTCAACCAGATATTCTCTCGCTGGGAGAGATCAGAGATATTTTCTCATCGGATGTTCTGGCCGAGCATTTGAAGGGAGGAATGTAGGGAAAAGGAAGAGAGGACGGAGCAAGGGAAACAGGGAAGAAGGTTGAATAAATGAAAGAAAAAGGATACGTGTTACAGAGCACTGTCAACCAGATGCTCTCTCGCTGCAAGGGTCCAGATGTGCTTCCTCATCGAATCCTCTGTTCGAGCATTTAGGGGAAGGGAAACAAGGAGAGAGAGAAGGAAGGAAGGAAGAAGAAGAAGCAAGGAGGCAGGAAAAATGAAGAGGAGGGCCCAGCGACTGACAGATATCCTGTGACCAAGGAGCTTCGCGCGTGACAGATGTCCTAAGAAGGGGAGACTCCGCGGTTGACAGATATCCTGGGAAGGGATATATGTCGTTTGGGCGATATTTTTGCAACTGACGTGTCAAAACATGGTGAGTGGGATGACTTGCTGTTGGGTTAGGTAACTCGTCCGAAGTTGCACCCTGTTGTATTTCCGTTCGGTGATTCGCACAAGTTATCCCATCTGGTGCACGTACCATTACCTGTCAGTAGCAATGTAATCGCGCCAAACGACCGCCTTCCCTTGGGAAGAAGTAATCGTCCTTTTGGCTGATTCTGTTATTGCAATGATTCTTTTGACAGAACCTTGCACGACTCTTTTAGAGTACGGTAACCCTTATTCACCTTACAAAGCTTTGCAGTTGAGGCAGTAGTCAACGCAATAGTTCGCAATAGTCTGGACTGTCCTTTAGCATTTCTACATACCTGCTGCTGTTGCTTCACTCTTCATTACTTCATTTTCACTCTTACCGATGTCTTAGTAATTGTATCATTGATCAGAATCCAACCGTAAACACTACTAAACTCTACTTCAAAATTTGCTCTTTCATTCTTTTCTTTCAAATTCAATTTCAATTTCAATTTTAATTCAATTTCTTTCAAAATTGTTGGGCAAGATTGTGCATTTCATGGAATTTTACCTCAGAACCGAACCACTGTCATCCTGCCTTGCATGATAAAAGGCATAATTACAGAAGTCCCCAAAAATCATTTGGCCCAAAAAAGGGTGCTGATGACCATGAATGGGTCACATCTGTAAGGTTTTTCAATGTGTGTCTTTGTTTTTCCTTTAATTTTTCACAATCGTTTCTCACCCTGCAAATCCTGTCAATGCCCGTAAAACACCCTGTAAACTCCTGCCAAACCCAGTGGAATGATGGTATTGTCAGCTAAATGCTATTTCTCCTTTTTTTTCGAAATTTTGCTGGAATTTACCTTTTGACAGGTGATAGCAAAGTTCGGGGTGTTAACAAGGTTGTCCAGTATCAAAATACTATTGACAACATTTGATATGCTGTCAAGCGCTTAGAGGTGTGGCCCCGTCGAAGTTGCTAACGTGCAAAAAGGCGTTACCTCCTCAAAAGGCAGTTGGCACGATGATTTGATACTTGGAATAAAATGCTGGTAGGGCGCCAAAAAGTGGGGAAAATGGTGAAAAAACGAGGTGAGACGGTCAAAATCCTGCGAAAAAAAGCCGCGGTTCTCAATGACTTAGAAATCACTTTTGGACGAGTTGTCCGTAGGCATCATGAAAATAACCGCTGCCGAAGTTACGGCTGCGTGTGTGTACTCATACATTCACGCAGCATCACAGCCGCTCAGCAAACTCTTCGCTTCATAATTTGCTTGTCAAATGAATCAATACGAGCATCAAGAACGGTCGTCTATTTGTGGGCGGGCGGGCGTGGTGGGCGTATGGGTCGGTATGTTGTGGCTTGATAGGGCTCCAGGGCTCTGCCTTGGAAAAGGCGCTATGCAGCGCCTGCTCAGGGAGCGTCGCGGAATACCGTCCTGCCAGGCGTATTAATCCTACTCGTCTTAGGAGATTTATCCTGCCAACTGCCTTTAAAGTACGCGTCACGCCCGCTCCTGTTAGAGATATGGAGTGTATCACCAGTTTACTTGCTTACTGAATGCTGGCCCGAGTTACTTGTATTTATTCGAATCACGCAACAGATCTTGTGATGATTTTTGTGCTCATACATTTCACATCTTCCTTCCTTCTGCGGTTTGCTATCAGCTCCGTGCCACTTGAGATACCTTTTCTCAAAAAAAAGTGAATTAAATATGGTTTAGCACTGAACAAAAATCGTGGGTAGTTTGGATATTCAAAAAGCGAGTGTTCTTTACATACCCGATCAAAGATTATGAGTTCCTTGATTTTTTTATCTATGCTTAGTATATTTGATCTACATTTCTTGTGGGCTACCTAACCTCATCACTACCTTTTTTTAAGCAAGCTACGTGAATTGTTCATTCTCTAAGTAACAAAAGAACAAAAAGAGCCTGTCGCTTCTTTCTATGGCAGGCGGTCAAGACAGTCGTGATTTGCACGCTCTGTCGCGCGCGGCAGTGGGCGTGGCATTTTCTTAATTTCTATAATACTGTCAATAATGTCAACTGGAACATCGGATTCCATGCAGACTTCGAAATCATCGACATATGGCTAGTTTTATTATACATTGACCATTGTCGACGTCTATCAAATGGAAGCGTCGTCATTTGCGGACGCGACGTCGCACGCGGTGACCTTCACCGCGACGAATCGTGGTTGTCTTGTCGCATACACTTGTTCTTCTTGTTGTTATAAACACAGCGTTAGTCTGTTAACTGAAGTATGTGTGATTAGTTTTTCCAGTAAAAAAATGCTGCTGTACAAAAACAGAATGTAGTAATATTTACTTATGTTAGTATTAAAGTCATTGTTTTCAGCCAGGGCAGTGGACACAGTCGGGATTTCATCAGTACATGTTGGCGCCACAATATCGACGCACCGTAGCTGTAAGTTAGTTGTTTTGTCGTGATTTTAAATCATTCTCACGTTGCAACCGTTTAGGATTGCTATGATCGACATCGTCCCAACATGCCGAATACAGCTCGCCCTCCACCGAGCATGAAAACGGATAATAGCGATAACACATTTCACGGTAATTAGGAAATTCTTCTTTTAAAATTATAGCATTTTATCGATACTTTTCAGCAAGTTTGTCCATGTTAGAAAATCCAACACAAAATTCTGCCGCTGCATACACTGCTAGTTGGGTTAGCAGTACTTCCAGCATTCCGCCTGAGCTAAGGGATGAGCCTGAGGTGTTTTTGGTTTCTAATTATGAATATTTTTGTGATGCACGTACAAGAATAAACTTGTTATGTTATACAGGTTCCTTCGTTCAATGGTTCAGCTCATAGTGGTTGTGTGAGTTTTCGTTATTTGGATTTTAGGCTGTCTTCAAATTGTTCGTTAATGTCTTGAGCGTTACGAGTGGCTAAGAAATTATAGGTATCGATCCAGCGTTTTAGCGTTTTCGCGGGTAGTTTCGAGCTTTTTAGCAGGCGTTCGCTGAAAACGCTGATGTACGCTCAAGAGGATGGATCTATATCCATACTTTCTCTTTCCGGTCGCTCGAAACGCTTACACGAAGTATAAACGCAGCCTTATATTTTTTAAATATATAAAATTTGTGACAAAATTACGATTATCATAATACTGTGGTGTTAAAAATCTAAAGGTATCGCTTATCTAAAAGGTTATTTTTAGCGGGACGACCTCGCAGCTGGTGCCTCTGCAGTTTTTACCCCTCCGGTCAGTACATTTGCTGATCAGTTCAGCAACATATCAATCACTGAAAAGGTAATATAGCTCGGCTAGTTTCCGCGCATATTTTTGTCAGAATATTCATGAGGTGATTAGGACGGTGAAGTATTGACTACGCAGTGGGAGGACTCGACAACTCTTGCGGCACAACAATGGCCAGGTCTGGGCCAAGATGGCGATGGAGGAGGTGCTCAAGCGGGTCAAGGAAGACGTCGACGAACGGACGATCGTGATCGTCGTGCTCGTGAATCACCTAAGGAACTAACATGGGACGAGCGCATTCGAAAAGGCGCTGTTCAGAAGGAGCGTGTCGAGCAGCGAGGGTATGTCTGTAGTAATATTTTCGTTACTTCTTATGCGAAAGGTTATTTTCTTATAGTTTGGAAAGACCTGAGAGAACTGAGCGTGATGGACGTGATAACAATTCTGGAAAAGGACATCAGAAAGGTCAACGTGGCGGTCGATATGCAGCACCTGCTAGATCTGAACGCATGGGAAGAGAGCCCATACTTTCTCCGATTCCAGGGGTATTTCTTTCTTTTTATTTCCGTTGTTTTACGGCCTTTTTTCTTTTACAATAATTCCGCCTTTCTTGTAATACACTTTCATATTCAAGAGTCATCTTTTTTGGATAAGCAAGTGATAGCATGAACTCTAAATCCCGCAATAAAAGGGTCGCGAGTGCGGACTTAGTGACGCGCGCGGCGACAGTTTCCATAATTTCTGCTCTTTCCTGGTTCACGAGCTGTACAGCGAGTGTTTTTCCAGTGACGAAAGCTTCAACTGTTTCGAAACTGCAGCTACTCGCGCAATTTAGTCCGCAATTGTGACCAGCATATCTTCTGGTTGCATACCGCTTTCCCTCCCGAGGGAACATCGTTGTTGGGGAATCCTCAGTAGGGGGTCGTATTTGGTCGCCAGGAGGGGGGGTCGTATTTGGGCTGAGAAAAATTTATTCTATCGTAGTACCAAAAAAAGAAAAAAATCGTAGTACCAACTCTCAAAAAAAGGGGGAGGGGTCGTACGGACTCGACTAAAATCCCCAACCAATGATGTGCCCTATTTGCCGAGTTATTAAGTTCCTGATGAAGACCATGAGGCCGCTTCCACCTTACTTTAAATGAGCGTTTGGCCACACCTGTCAAAACACGGCCCATATTGTTTTTTGACCGAACAACCATGTTGATAAGACGTTTTCTTATCACCCAACATTTTTCGCAGAATTTGCGCCTTCTCTCTTTAGCCCAATTGAACCCGAAAATGTAAATAAACCTGAGCGACAGCTAGTGATACTAAAAGCAGGCTGTTTTCATTTTCGCGAGTTATTCCTGCTGGGAATAGACTTACACTTCATATTATGGGAATGAGGAAGGCGTGGTCGGTTTGTTTGTATTAGGTTGTCCGGAAAGTTTTCAGCGTTTTGGGTGTTTCACTTTAAACGATCGTAACTTTTTAATACTTATCGGATTTAATCGAGATAGGCACCATTCGAATCAGCACACTTTTGCCAGTGTGACAGCAGTCGAGAAATCCCATTAAAGTAAAAAAACTGGGTGGTCGCAAATTCACGAAATCCACGAAGGCTTTTTTGCCTGGTCCTGATTGATGAAGTATTTTCCAGCAAGGGAGTTCTGAAAATGTTAGAAAAGGTGACAGTCGGTTGGTGAAAGGTCTAGAGAATATGGTGGGTGAGGTAGAACTTCAACTCCCAATTCGTTCAATTTATGGATAGTGATTTGTGAAACGTGTGGGCGGGCGTTGTCATACAAAGGAATCGGACCCTTTCTTTTGATAAGTGTTGGGTGCATCTGACAAAATTTTCGGTACAATTCGTCGATTTCTTCGCAGTAGGGTTATGCTGTGATGGTTTGGCCTGGTGATAAAAAGTTATAGTGGATCAACCAGCCGATGACCACCACGCCGTGACCAGAATCTTTTTTTCGTGAGGGTTCGGCTTTGAAAATTGCCTCGATGGTTCAGTCACTGTCCGGAACGTCTACTGTTATCATACATGACCCATTTATCATCACAGGTGACAATTGGGCCCAAAAACAGGTCGTTTCTGCTGCGCAAAAGCAATGCAGAAGGAACCTCGAGACGTTCCGATTCCTGCCGGTCACTCCGATTGTGGGGCACCCGATTGTCGAGTTCTTCACCTTCCCAATGCGTTCCAGACCATCTGCAACAGTGGATTTGCCAAGGCCTAGCTCTTCTGCTATCTCTCGAACTGCTTGGGATGGGTCAGCCTCCAAAATCCCCCTAAAATTCTCGTCAGATATTGCTTTAGGTCAACCGCTATGAGGATCACCTTCAAGGCTGAAATCTCCAGAACGAAATTTGTTGAGCCATTGCCGCACAGTGCTTTCTCTAGCACTATTGGGCCCCCACACCTGGTTAATTTGTTGAGCTGTTTCGATTGCGGATTGCCCCAATTTATAGTCGAAGAAAAAAATAGTCCGAAGTGCTCTTTTCACATGCTTGAAAAAATATTCTTAAACATTATCAAATGGAAACTAACTGAGACAACTCATGCTGCCTTGTTCTGGAGAAAAATACGTTTGCAATTGTGCCAAAATGAAGATGTTTCAGCAGAAGCCTAGCAGCCACAACGTTCTAATAAAGCGCGCAGCCACGCCCTTCCCATCTCCGGGGTATCGAGTGTAGCTTTTATACGACTTGTTTCCTTCTCTTTTGTTATTTGGTTTAGCGGACTATTTATTGAGAAAGATGTGGTCCAATATTATAGGATCGAGATGGTAATCCATGTCGTAATGGTCAAGCGATGCGAGTTCCGGCAACCCGAGGAAACCGTGCAGGAGAGAGACCTACTCACTTTGACACTGGTCCTCGAATGCTACCGTTACGTGCACCACAGTACTACAGTCACGGTTTGTCTTTCTAGTTGAGAACAACCGCTACTTGATAGTAATGGTTTGAATGTTTTAACGCTTTACTGCTAGAGTAGAATTTCAAGGTGTTCCATTGCTAATGGCACGAGGGGCGTACTATCGCACAGGACCACCTCCTCCAGTTGTTTGTGTTCCGCAACAGGATCAACGTTTTCGAAATACATGGCTTGATGCTAATCTTGGTATCAACTATCCGTCTGTCCCTATGGTGAGTGTTTACTATTATTGAAGCTGCGTTCATGCTCAGCGTCAGTGTCCACCAGCGACCACAAGCGTTTCAAGCGTACGCCACTGCCAGCGACTAAGGGTAGGTATCGATATCGATGTAGCCAACGCAGCGTCTTCCAGCGTCTACCAGCGTCCAGGAGTTGAGAGTATGAGGAAGTAGGAGGGTAGCAGGCAGCTAAATTAGGCGTCGAGAAATTTATGCGTGTGCAACCGCACCGTGCACTGCTGAAGCAATGAAGGGATTGTGCATTTTTGATCTGCGGGGTAGTGCAGTTGTCGGTGCGATTGCACACGCTGCAGTATAACGGCGCCTAATCCAGCTGTCTGCTACCTCCTGCTTCACCATACTTTCTACTCCTGGAGGCTGACAAACGCTGGCAGACGCTAACACTAAATAGACACCTATTTTCCTTCTGCTGCGAGAAACTGAGGCAGCGTTTAGACTTTGCGACGGCAGAGGTTCGGTCGCGCGTTCGATGCGATCGATGCAGTCGAAAAGCATGCGCATCGATTGTCGAATCGCGCGACCGAAGCGCTGCCATCGCGAAGTGTGAAGCTGCCTAATGGATGCTGGTCCTCGCAGGTAGACGCTGACCCTAAACATTGACGCAGCCTGAGCTACCTTCACATTGAATAATTTGTATTTATGTTCAGGTTGATTATTCGTTTACTCCTTGCTGTGGTGGATACCGCCCTCGGCCAAATTCTGGTGGTCGAAGTGGTTATCGATACCCATCCAAGAATTCGTACAAAGAAGTAAAACCTCATTCCAATGAACAAACCTCATGTGAAGCTGATCAAAACGAAAAGAATCGAGGAGTGGCTGCCGAACATGATGAGTCCTCAAAAGCCGATGAGGAGGAGGTATGGGAGTCTGAAAATGAAGAAGAAAAACAAAATCGCTGGACTGGTAATAATATGTGTTGGCCGTATGGCAAGGAGAAACCAGAGGATGGTAACCCGTCAAACGAGGAAAATCACACTACAGACGAAAATGAGCAATGCAAAGCCATCGATATCAGTTCCAGTGGTAAGACGGATGCTGCTGGAACTGTAGCCTCTGGATGAGGTTAACCCTTCCAACATTCCCATTATTGTTCATTTTCATTGTATTCGTATCTTTTACAATTTTATTTTTCTCTCCATCCCCTGAATGAATGTCACTTTGAGAGCACGTTTCAAATAAGTTGACGTTCAAATTTGTTTCATCATTTTTCTGTGGTCGTTGAATGAGCGCTCTAACCTGCCATTATTTCTTATCAAAGGTTATCCATTGGGGTCTTACAGGCATTTGCTCTATTGAAATATAGTAGAACAACGACTGTCTGGGAATGTTATCCTAGACTTTCCTATCCATGAAATTGTTTTTATTTCTATAAACAACAGATAATTTATTTAGATGGCTCAAATTGGAACTAATAGTTTTAAAACTTCCTCTATTATTTTTCGGTTAGAAATCGCTCCTTTACCCGTCATATTCCTGTGTTTGACCGCAAACGTTATCCTTTTTTCCATTATTCGATCACTGAGCAATTTTTTTTATTTTTGTTTTTATTATTTTTATATTTCTGTTCTTTTGTATTTGTCACTTCATTTCCTCTTTTTTTTGTCGCTCCATTTCCGTTGTTTTCATCTTCATGTATTAGTTCTCTATGGTTCAGAATTTTTCTTCACATTGAATGGACGTATTGTTTTGGTTTCATACGACTTTTTTTTCTGTTGATTACCGAAGAAGTTTTGTTTCCATACTATCATCCCTCCTCCCACTCCCTACATGGGAGACGGACAACACAATCGTAATTTGTCGCGCCGTCGCGCGCGGCGTATTGTATAGCGATACGCGGCAAGTTCTCGATGTGCATCTGTTTGTCGATTAAAGCAGCGGAACTTATCGAGTTTTCTCGTTCCTTGGTCCTTTGAGTTCGAACAGGCGGACAGGACACTCGTCCGTCAAGCGCGGCGTCGCTTGCCATGTCCACCGGGCGGCAGATTACGATTGTCTTGTCACAAACCCCTCCGCCCACAAGTCCACAGTGAATGGTCGTTGAGAACGATGCGCGCTCCATTACTATGTTACTATTAGCCGTGTTGGTTAATAATGTATTTATCGTGGTTTCTGCACATTCGTTTGTGGGGGGCCGAGCGCTGCTATGATCGATTTTTGTCGTGTTTTTGTGCAGTTGTACGATCAACTTCTCCTACCCTGTGAACAAGAGTCGGTTCAAGCTGGAATATAGATTGTTTTGATTATCGCTGCTGATTTGTCGATGTCATTATATATTCCATGTGTTTTGTCGTGTAAATCTGTTGGTTTTTCTCTAGACTACACTTATGGTTGTGCAGTCGTGGGAATTTGAGATTGATGTTGGTCAGATTATAAATTTTACTGTGGTACCTGCCACTTTTTTCCCGTTGATGTGTAACAAAGGAACATCTTCGTATCGCGCTTTATTATGTGTCTTTTCTTTGTCTTTTTTTTTGAATACTAATAGAATTTTTATGCATAATAGATGTCTGTAGTCGTCACTGGCCCTCCTACGATCCGTGCCCAGGAAATAGTTTCGCGTGACGAACGCCTACCTTCACGAGATGATGTGGTACATTGTGGGCAATTGCTTTCTGTTGGCGCAGATGTGATGAGGTAACCTGTAATTTCCTTACCAAAGATTATTAGGTTGTGTCATAGTTTCAGAACCATCCTGACTGTTTAGCAGCTTATTTTTTTGTTTTCTATTTATTTATTCCTACGACGCAGTGTAAAACGCCTACATCGACAACGTAGCGGATCTCCCGGTCGGGTCAGCCACCACATTGGGTTTTCGGCGTCTGCCTATCATTGAACTTTTGCCTCTACTACCTAGAACCAGGGCACGCCATCACGTTGTGCTCATTTCCTGAATAATACGACCCCCCCTAATTCCATCCTCAAGTACGACCCCCTCCCCATGCTACTTAACACTTCTAGATTCCTAGATTTTCCCAACTTTTTACCACATTTGCCATTTCTTCCCAGAAAATTTCCAGTCTTTCAGCCAAGAATTTTCCGTCGAGCGGGAAGGGGGGTGGTTTAATAAACTATGTGGAACAGGAAAGCTCCTCAGATCCCCCCTAACACCTACCAGTTCTTTCCAAAATTTCCTTTTCTGCTTTTTCCCCAAATTTTTTGCTGGCCGAGGCGAGGATGGAGGGAGGTCGTCAAGATTCAACTATCATTCTCAACTAAGTACTTATATAGATCTTTGGCAGTCCCTCTCCCAACAACGACCAAATGCGACCCCCCTAGCGGTAAAATACGACCCCGTTGTGATCATCACAACGATAACGTGCCCTGCCTAGTACCTCTTTTAGATGGTGCCGTAGAACCCTTTGAAAGTCTCGCTCTGTGGATGTTTCGACACTCATGCATTTATAAGTTTGTTTGGGCGAATAACATCCGCTAAAGATTCTGAAACTAAGTTGAGTAAAACAATACCAAAGGATCAGTAACTTTATGAGACATGTTTCCTGTCCCCTTGGTGAGATATACCGCGGCGGGTTAAAGGTGACCTGAACCTTCGCGAGACTTGCGAGGCTCCCACTAGCAGGGTACAGCATCGTTGTGTTTAACACATAGGGGGGTCGTACTTTTCGGTTGGGGAGGGGTTCGTATTTAATCGTTGTTGGGAGAGGGGTCGTATGGCTCTGACAGAAATTTGTCGCGTTGGTTTTCCGGTTGTTAACTTTTTGTGTGACTTTTCCTGTTTCATGTGCAATACCCCCCCCCCCGTTTCCCCGCTGGACAGCAAAATTTTTGGGTAAAAGTGGGGAAATTTGTTGGAAATTCTGGGAAAGTGGTAGCAACTTGGGGAAAATCTAGGAAATTTTCCCGTTTCACATTGGCTACATACCCCTCCCCTACCTTCGACGGAAAATCTGTGGGTGAAGACTGGTAAATGTGGAAAATTGGTAGGTAGGTGCTTGGAAAGAGGGCGGGGGTCGTACTTAGACCCTGACTTAGGTGGGGTCGTACCAACACCCTCCTTCGTGAAGGGGGGGGGCTCGTACTGGCACTACCATTTCACACATCACGATGCTGTACCCCGCCCACTAGTATCTATAACCAGCGCATGGGAAATGCTCATTCCTCCTCTTGTAAAAATCTCAAGGCCTGGTATTTTTACATTGATTTGTCGACTGGTAGAATCTGTGCGAGGTTAGGGTTGTATGCTGAAAGTGGAAGATTAGTTCAGTAGGAAGTTCTCTATTTTCCCAAGGCTTCTAACGAGATGTTGTATTGGGAACCAACAGGAAAAGCAGTGGAAGTCTAGTTTTACTTCTAGGTTGTCTAAAATGCGACCAAGCTGTTATCAGAAGGATGACGCATTCTCTATGGTACTAGTTTGTAGGGGTTTCCTATAAACCGCTATTGTACTCCACTAACAACTTAAAAGATCAGTTTTTTGACTGTTGGGTTTTCGTGTGGGGATTTCCGGATCATTGCGACTGGGCCGGTACTTTTTGTTGGCGCAATGAGTACTCCACATATCGGTGGCCAGGAGAATTGGGTGAGTGTATGCCACCCTATTCTCCCGGCCACTGAATATGTGGGGTGGTGGTCCACCGGATGTGCTATGAGAAATCTAGAGGAACATGGCGATGTATGTCTTGCCTGGGAACTGTGCGGACTCATCCTATGCCGAATCGAATCTCTAGTTATCCCGAATTCCCTAGATCAGTGGATGTTAAGTACCGATTTGCCACTGTGCAGATGCACTGCCTAAGTACCGATCTGCCACTCTGCAGGTGCACTGCCAAAAAAACGGCTGCCAGAAATCCTTTTAATAACGCAGCGTCGGTCAGAATCAAATGTCGTGGAACAGCCAAGGTATGAATCGAAAGAGCCTGCTTTCAACTGGAGACTGCATTGATGGTGTGCCATGGGATTAGAGCGGGTGACCTGCTCATCGCTTAATAAGTTGACCGTGCAGGTCGTCGTTCGGGCAGTCCTACGCGATTCACATGAAAAATGATGCTTTTGAAAAGAAATGAGGTTCTGGAAAAAAAATTTAAGTGGCAGCCATCGAAATAAAGGATGTCTGCGGTATATAGCAAGTTATGCGTCAAATTTTTTTTGAGGAATTATATAGCATTAAATGTAAAGTATCCGAGAAATTTCAGAGAGACCTGATATTCTCTCTGAAATCACTAGTGTAGATTCCATTTCTGCATTAACTCGTGGTATTCTTATGCTGTTGGCCCTGAAACTCTGACAGCTTCTCCTGAGCGCTCCCAACCAACACCCTCCACCTGCCTGTGGTTCCCTCCGGTTCAAGAGAATGAGGTCCACATCCGTTACTGATTTTAAATTGACGGCGTAGCTTTTCGGGATCTAACCTGGTACCCTCCACACTGGCACAAGTGAAACCGTTCACCCCGACGCCACGTTGGAGCTGCGCTGCGGATGAGGTTTGTGAGGATAAGGCGGGGGGGGGGGTCGTATTTCTTTTCTCATGCTGTATCCTGCTAATAGCGCTGATTACACTAAGCACTGAGTTGGTATGGATATATGGATTTCAGTGGCCACGGCACCATTCCTATCGGTGACAAGCTTTCGGCTAGTGTGTCTGGTTTCAAAGTGCAGTATAGTCGGCTGTTTCTGGTGGAGCCTTACAAGTCGAAGTTCGTTTTTTTCATTTTTCAAATTGATTTTCTGTTCTTTTGAATATATTCTCTGTAATTTGTTGATTTGAAGGTACGTGCCTAAAATAGGAGATGTTGTAGTTGGTCGTATTGCAAGCATCCAGAAAGCTCGATGGAAGGTCATTGATTCACAAATTTCTTGCCAGTCTTCTCCCCTTTGCTAGGCTTATTCAGGTGGATGTAAACTATAGAATGGCGGCAATCTTGCATCTGAACAATGTCAACCTTCCTGGTGGAGAACTACGTCGCAAAGGCCTAGAAGTAAGTGCTTGGGCAGAGCCTTGTCAATAGATCAGTACCTTTTCTCTGTATATTTCAATGTAGGATGAAGTCGCTATGGCGAAGCACATGGTAGTAGGTGACATGGTGAGTGCAGAAGTTCAGCAGATACGGATGCGGGGTCAAGTTCAGCTTCATACAAGGAATTTGAAATATGGTAAACTTGGTCAAGGTGTGATGATAAAGGTAAGTGATCGGTTCTGCATTTCATGAGTATGTCAAGACAATCGTAACTCGCCGCCATGGTGGGCGTGCGAGCGATGCCACGCGACAGACGTGTAGTCATGCTTTGCCGTTCCAACATATGTAATCAGAGAAGGGAAGGTTCGAAGGTTCGACGAAACCCATCATAAAGACTTCCTTTGCCAGAATTCATATGAGTAATCATTGCTATAATTTGGGAATTTGCCGCATGTGGCCGCACGATATGCTGCTCGCGGCGACGCTGCACGTTACGATTGTCTTGTCCGTCTCCCTCCAATATTTGTTTTGTATGTTGCTACTTTTTTATTTAGGCCCCTCCAAGTTTGGTAAAGCCTCAGAAGGAATACATGCATGAAATACATGGAATTGGTGTAATAATTGGATGTAATGGTATAATATGGATCTCTCCTTCTCTCAACAACGATCCTGACGGTGGTTATGACACAGATTGCACTACGGTATGTTATCCCATAGGTTTTAATGTTTGTCTTATGTTTATGATGAAAATGATGCTTTCATGTTTTTTTTCTTCTCAGATGCTCCCACTAGCCAAACGTACAGCTTTGGTGAGGATTGCAGCCTGTGTTCGAATCCTTATCAAAAACCTTATTTCCATCTATGATGTCTCAATTATGTCCGCCTATGGCGCGTCATTGGTATATCAGGTAGGTATGGCACATATCATAAATCTTCCCATCTCTGCATCGGTATCCAGGAGGCAGATGGGTCGTAATTGCGTACTTAGTGCAGCGTAGTGCTTTGAAGAAATGGTAGTTTCCCCTCAACGGAAAAATTTGCTGTTTGTATTAAAGCTATTGCCACTGAACTAACTAACCGAAGTCTGACGAAGTCGAGCACAACTAGGAAGGAGCAGCAGTACAATTTAATCGCACCTGCTGCAGTAGCGTTGCATGTTGAGATTCGAGCGCATTAGCAATTATACCCCTAAATTATCCCCTTCCCAGGACCGTTTCTCAAGAAATTCTCACGCATTCCGCTGAAATCGCAATTGCGACACCTCTCATAGTGGGATACGGAGTGCATCTAGATGGTCCTTAATTGAGCACCGCGAGGTCTTCAATTTCTCATGAGAAATTTTAATGATCCTATATTGTTGATTGTCTGGGAACGTTCGCAGTTGCGTACACCTACCGCAGTGACACTTTTTTTGCGTGTGATTTCCGAATTGGGGGAGGGGGAGTTAGGATGTCTTTGCGCATTGTGATGCCACGAGGTTTTGCACTCCATTAGCACCAGTAGAAAGAATCGTCAGCTTGTCTCCGGTCACCGTTAACCCTCCTCCGCCCTGATGAAATAGGAGCTTGTGGTGCAAGTACAATTCAATCGCACTTGCTGCAGTAGCGTCGCACGTTGAGATTCGAGCGCATTAGCAATTATACCCCTAAATTATCCCCTCCGTTGAAAAAGGTAACCTCACTCAGGAACGTTCTATGGAAACGGTGACAGAAGCGATTTTTCAGTAGTGGTTCGATTAAGAGCGTTTCTCAGTAATAAATAAAATGCAGTAGGGTGTGACTGCATATCTACATAATACCTCAGTCGCTAACATTGTGCAAAAAAGCCTTATGACCACCTAGCGGGTGTCTATAGGGGCCTCCTGTCTGTTTAGGTGACCAAAGTTGCCAGGATTCTAGATGATGAGAGAACGATGCGAGGTGCTATTTCAGTGCGCTAGGCCATTTCGGCGCAATGCATCCAAGGTATTTGAACTTCTCCGCACATGGGACTTTGTTTACCCAGTTCTTCCCCCCTGATAAGCAAAAATCTCCACCCAATTGGCGCGCATCTAAGGTCCGGAGTTGGTGCAACAGGTCCCGAAACGCAAGTGTGAGCACATAACCAACTTTACGCTCCTTATTTTTTCTTTTCTACAATGAAGTGTAATTACTAGTCAGTTAATAACATTCAATTAAGGTTCCCCGTTTTAGGTGAAAGAGTTGGCACATCCAGAGATTTCTGCTGTATTGGTGCCGAGAATTGTGGATATGATGAAGGCCGAAGAGAAGCGTCGTGCGCTGGAGAAAGATCGAGAAGAAGCTGCCAGAAAACGACGAGCTGTGTAGACCCTTGTTTAATATTCACGTTAGGCAGGTTATTTGCTCAGTTTTAGTGAAAAAGTGGTAGAGGAAAATGGATGGGTAGGCTTTGAAAACTTGTTTGGATGTGAGAAACCTAGAAGGAAATATGTTAAAAATTGTGTTTTCTGGTTATTTTGTGCTGTGATGTTGAGAATCGAGCATGCATAACTTCTGTTAAGATTTTCTGAAGGTATATGTGAAGTTTGTGGATGATGGGCAACAGTCTTCATAGTCTGGTTCTCTGCGAATGATGGGGTCCGCGTGGCTGCGTTTAGCGCTGCAGCGACCCTTTTTCCAATTTTTTTTTCATTTCGAAAGCAGCAGGACTGTATTATATCGCTCTTATAAGTCGTTGTCACCAGTTGGTGTAACTTACCCGCTTAAACAACTAGTGGAGAATGGATTAGCGGCGTACCAAACGCGGCCGCGTGGACACGCCCCGTCGTTTGCAGCGAACTAGTCTGTATTTGACTCCTGAAATGTGTGGTGCGTTCACTGCTTCCTCTAGATGATCTATTTTTATTTATTCAATGATTATTCAATCTCTAAAGCACTTGCCTACATTTTTATTGGACACAATCTCTTTAGAAAGATTCTTCGCAGTGGTTGTATGGAAACTCTTTGATGCTCTCCTTTCTGGTTGGATCTCGTTGTTTGATCGACTTTTGTTTCTGTTTTCGTTAAATAAATGTTTGGTGTTTGTTGAAAAGTTTTTCCATTCTGGTTTCATGCCATCGTTGCCGCTTCTCTCACTACTTATACTACAGTTTAAGGAGTAATATTGGTTACATATTTGTAGGAGGTGCTTGCCGTCATCCTTCTTGCTTCATACATAATGACTGTCGTGAAGGAACGTCCTCAGACTATTATTGCGCAAACACGAGAGGAAATGGTTGAGAATATCAAGGAATATCTATTAGAAACTCTTGCGCATCTTATAAAATATAATGGACTCATTTCAATAGGCGTCTCTGGTATGAATTTAAATTTATGTAGTCATTACTGAAGAGTAAGTAATAAGGAGTAAGGAATTACTGAATAGTCACTGTTTATTTGTAACCCGTTGTGGGAAACTTTTTTATATGGGATCTTTATTCGTTGTCCTTCATTATTTGAAATATTCAATCAGTTCTTTATTCAGGTGGTTCCATGCCAAAATTAATTTGTGACGTTTTGAAGTGTATTGAGAATCTCGAATGGAAAAGAATTCGATTATTTATGGTACGTATTTGAGGTCTCTTATAATTTAGCTGAATTCCAAAAATGCTTGGTCATGGGATCCATTTCATGGTGGTCTTTTGACGTCTTGAATCCTTCGACTGTTACTACACTCTTTCTCTGTGACGGAGTAGGCGTGGCATTCGATCAGGGCATAGAATGGATCACTCGTGGAATATTCCCATTAAAAACAACTGTCATTTTGTTTTGGGTTGGACAGAGACACGACAACAATTGTGTGAAAACGGGTTATCACACTAAAAGCACGGCCACCGCCACGTTTAATTGAAGTACGCAGCCACGCCTACCACATCTCAGGTATTTCGAGTGTACGCATGAAGCAGTGACAGGCGTAGTTACGAAGGGATTCGGTTCCTCAATTCTTTATCCGAGAGTCCATTCATTCCGTGTCCCCTGATAGGTTAGATTTTATTTTATTCTTTGAATAGCTTTGCTTTTACATTTACAAAACAGTTTCATTCGGAGTGCTAGCTCATCCTTTTCTCATTTCGATGTTTTGTTCCTTGCACCTCCATCGTTGAAAGTATCAGTTCAAATATTATATTGCCCGTTTTAGAGTGAAGAAACCTCAATTCGAAACAGCACCTTTTATAGACTGCATAATGTTCTTCTTCCCGAAATTAGCAGAAACCTAATTACAGTTTGCATTTTCCGGGCCTTGAATGTGGCTAGAACAGTTTATTTTAGGCCGACAGTTTAACCAAGTACCATTTAGGCTAACAGTTTCCCCGAATACCATCTGGGTTAGACTAAGGAAACAGAATAAAGACCGAAACGGAGAATAAAAGGCCGAAACGGCAAAGTAAATGAGTAATAGTATAAATCAGTTTATTCCAGAATTGCTATTGAATAGGTTTACAAACTGTTCAAGGATGTTTTAAAACTAGTTGTACCATAATCGAATAACCTACTTCATTTACATTCACAACATTATTGTCTCTAGGTATTCATAAAGTAGCTATAACGTACTTGTTATTACGCCACTCGATGTTTTAAGCTGTTTTAGATACTGATTTTGTGTCAGTCAAATTCACTTTTCCTTCGACATTTTAACGCCATCGATTTGTATCTTGAAAGTTCGAAAGGAACACTACAGTGCGTCCCAAAAGTATACAGCCACCCATAAATCTCATTATATCCCTCCCTACACGACGTTTTCAAAAAAAGCCTCTAGGTATAAAATGTGGTATTTACCAGTACCAATTTGCATGCTAACTCCGAGAACTGACTTTCCACAGCAACTTCAACTTTCTTTATTTTTTGAAAATTTCTCACTATGACAATGTCCCACAAGTATACAGCACTAAACGAATCGTTCAGAAAACAAGAAAAGTACAACAAATTCAATGAATCGTCGTTTCAATAATCTATTTGCAGCCCATTCTTTCGAATAAGTTCGAAAATGGCGGTCGTCCATGCTCGAGCAGAGGTGGGTCTATAAGTGTTTTGTCGACATGTGCCATGCATCAATGATAACCTCCTTGAGCTCACTCTAACATTTTCGAATCGCTCATTGTGGCGCGTATATCCTGCGTACCATGAAGCCCCAAGCATTCTCGGATAGGTTTAGGTCTGGGCTATTCGCGGCCATGGCAAAAAGAGTTATCTGATGACGGCTAAGTGCTCCGGCTAACATGGATTGGTGCATTTTCTTGCACGAATACAGGACTTTCATTGCCGTATCCTTTGCCAGAAAATAACAGACCTCGTCGCATTACCTCTACGTAGTCAGAAGAGTTCATTTTCTTCGATACGAAGCACAGCTTCAAATGTCCCTTTGATGCGATCGCAGCCCAGACCATGACACCACCCCCTCTAAAGTTCCGCCTCGAAAAATTGAGCTTACTTTCCTGAGATCGTGCCAGTAGAATGCATTTCCATCTGGGCCGTCGCAGTTGAACTTCTTCTCATCGGAAAACACGACCTGGAGCAAAAAAAAACTGAAAAGACACGCAGGGGGCAGCGCGCAGCACCAAAGCTAACCTTGCTCCAGTCGATTCGGCAGCATCTTCTAGCAAAAGCGAGTCGGGTTTCGCGATGGCGGTCTGTCAGAACGGTGCCTTCCTCATTTTCTCTCTGTGATGAACTCTGACTTCTTCAAGACACGCCAAACAGTATTTTTCGAGACATTGAGATTTAGCGATGACTTTATTTCCCTGCATGACATCGTGGAGTTGGACGCTTCTTTCGGATACGACGTTTATCTCGTTCAGAACAGCAAAGGAGGACGCCCAGAACTCTTCCTGACTCCATATCCTGCGGGATCCCTGACAAACTGATCGATAACATAATGACTGCGGCCCAACTCTCTTGCGATTTGACGATTCGACAGTCCTTGAGCCTTCTTTGCGGTAATCTGCCCCTTTTCGAAGTCAGACAGTGAAAGCCCTCTTGCCATAACCTGGAAAAGGTCAAAGGTAGAGATGATGAGAAAGTTTACCCGAAAAAAATGAGACGCAATGGGAAAATATGCGGTGGCTGTATACTTGTGGGACATTGTCATAGTGAGAAATTTTCAAAAAATAAAGAAAGTTGAAGTTGCTGAGGAAAGTCAGTTCTCGGAGTTGGCATGCAAATTGGTACTGGTATTGCCACATTTTATACCTAGAGGCTTTTTTTGAAAAGGTTGTGTAGGGAGGGATATTGTGAGATTTATGGGTGGCTGTATACTTTTGGGACGCAGTGTATTTTTGAAATTATAGATATTTCGTTCAGAAATTGTCCACTTCTAAGTGTTATGTACTTTACTTTCTGTTACATTATTAATTTTGCTTTGAATGCCTTTTTGGCTTTCGTTTTTTCACATGTTGTTCATGATCATTACAGTAACCTTGCGTTTTCTATCAGCGGTAAGTGTGGTTACAAGGACAAACGTACCTAAACATTTTAACAAATTTTTGAGACATATTCAAGTAACATTCGTATTCTTTACTGTAAAACTCAACCTTACAGCATCATATTTAGTATTTCGCAATTTCAGTGTGTCAGCTTACATAAATGAGCACGTAGAAGTAAATAAATGAGAAACCACGGAAAAAAGAGTGCTTTGAATGAACATGGATATAAGCATTAGGTTTAAGCATGCTCCGCCCCAGAATTCGCGCTCAAGTAATTTATAGGTGTCCTTCGTTGTAGAGGTAGTTCGACCCCTAGTCTTCAGATTATCCCGCTTTCACGGCTTCGCAGTAAGTAACGAAGGTGCTATAGCCCTCATAAATGGCATTTCTGACTTCTGTTCAGTTGTCCCATCCACCGAAACTTGAAGGCAGTTGGCACGACGATTTGGTGCTCGGCCTAAAATGCTAGTAGAGCGCTATATAGTGGGGAAATGGCGAAAGAACGGAGTGGAACGGTCAAAATCCTGCGAAGAAAGAGCTGTTTTCAAAGTGTTAGAAATCAATTTTGGACGAGTTTCCTGTAAGCATCTTGCCAATAACCGCTACCGAAGGTACGGCTGCATATATGTACTCATATCCATGCAGCATCACGGCCGCTTTATACCAATACCTTCACTTCATAATTTGCTTAGAAAATGATCAATTAGAGCGTCAGGAACGTCCATTTAGGGGCGGGCGGGCGTTTGGGTCGTTCATCCTACTCGTCTTGGGAGACTCATCGTTCCAACTGCCTTTAAAGGCTTTTTTTTGTCACAAGTTCAGGTTTCAAACCACGTTTTCCCTTTTTTTCCGTTGTTAGATGGTATTAGTACTGGATGACGAAGAGAAACCATTAGTGAGCTGGAAGTGCCAGGACATCACTTTTGCTGGGGAAACCAGAAGGTCTAGGAAAACTCGTCCAGAGAAGCTGAACAAATCCTGATCAGTCTCCACAATTTTTTTTTTCTTTTTTCTTTCTCCTGAGAGTCCTTTAGCGACTATGGGTTTGTTACCAAACGCCGTTATCCACGCTACACAGTGGCGGAGTCTGTCTTTAACATCTGAAAAGTCAATATAAAAGAGCGCACGTCAGATTTTTCATCTACTCGTACAGTTTCAAGCTTGAGGGCTACTCTTTTAATTGGGTCCTTTCGTTTTATTGATTTTTCATTGTTCAGGTGGACGAGCGAATTGTTCCTATTACGGATCCAGAAAGCAATTATGGTCAATATCTAGCCAATCTTCCACCTGAATGTCATCAATATATAGTACCCATCGAGATTGCGGATACTGGTTTGTTATGTTCACATTTTGCCTTATCTAAATTGAATTACAAGATAATTTTAGCATCGAAAACTGCATTACAATACGAGACTACACTTCGTACAACATTATGCCCAGAGCAAATAGGACGTTTACCAAGATTTGATATACTATTTCTTGGAATGGGGCCAGATGGTCATACTTGTAGTCTTTTTCCTAATCACAGACTCCTTCAAAAGGTAAGTCTTTCAGTACCATTCAAATCTTAATGGTTATAGCGCATGCGGTCTTTTACAATATAGTACCTTTAGACAGCCTTTGTGATTGAATTTGGTCGACTAGAAGTTCATGTTCATAGTTGTCATGTTGGAAAATAGTGATCGCTTCTCCATTTTTTCCTTCACCTTAACTAAAATTCCATCTTACTGAAGATATTTCAAGCGTGAACCATTTGTAACCAATGGAGCCTTGGGCTTTGTGCTATAATCCTTGCTAGGTAATGACTCTGGGGTATGTGACGGTTGGACCACGCGGCGTCGCGCGCGATGACTGCGAATATCGTATGCTTACGATGGACGCGCTCGCGATGATTTGGTAATCGCGACAGTGAAATTTCGCTGCATTTTTTTCAACATGACAATCCGTCCTATCTCAACATACTTGAATAAGTACAGTTTCTGAGAGTATGCTGTCCAGAAAGCGTTGTGACAGTCAAATGATTAAAGACAGTTCCCGCGACCAAGTGGTTCGCGAAATATCTCCGTGCATTCGACATCGTTGTTCGCATCCGCAGACAATGTACCACTTTCGTTACTCGGAACGGCGAAATAAAGGAGCTAGAGACGCGTGATTATTGCAACCATTGCTACCACGATTACTTTCTCTCTGCAATACAGTGGCGTATAAGCGGAATTGCGTGTGTACATAGCGTTGCCTGGAGCGTCGTAGGGTGATTCCCTGTGCCCTTGCCAGGAAATGGTAACACGTCGAATTCTACTGATTGAGCTTGCCGACGTCCGACAAACTCGTCCATTGTGCCCATTGCTGAAGGGGGCGGGGGAGTTTCTGTTCAGAGTGCTCCTCAAGGTTTTTCCTTTCTGTATTTGGGAGTTAGTTATGGGCTACTAGTTAATGATTGAACACCTGCTTCCCGTAACACACGATCACGGAAAATGTCTTTGAGGATCAGCAGGCAAGAAGTTGACTCGCGAGCAGAATTCATGCAGGTTTCTCGGCGCCATAATTGTTAGTCTTGGCAATCGTGGTCCTGCTCGAGTGAAGAGAATCGCTCAAAATTGGGGCGAACACCATCTAATTTAATAACGCAGTAAGTTTACCGCGAGCGTACGCTCCATTGCAATTGCGCGGTGGTTGCGCGCACGCAACGCGCATGCGACGTCGCGTGGTCCTGAAGATCGTCTTCCAGTGAGTGACCCCTAGCACAAAACAAATCAGAGACCAAAGTGAAACATTTTATGCGTGTCTTCAAGTTTCAGTCTGGTTTGCCCTGTACAGGAGCACCTTTTATCTATGCAGAGCATATAGTAATTCTGAACATGATTTAAATGTTTCTTTTTGCAGAATGACCTGTTAACATGGGTGATTGCCATCAATGACTCACCCAAACCACCGTCTCAACGAGTTTCTCTCACCCTTCCTGTTCTTAATGCTGCCAAAAATGTTGCGTTCATTATCACTGGAGAAGAGAAGGCTTCGATGGTCAAGGTAAATTTTTTAGCAATAGCTCACTATCAAGGCGGTCTACTTCGTGCATGCCAAGAGGTAATTTTAGAGTGTCCTTGATTCTGAAGTCCAGCATGTGCCCGCCTCCTTTGTGCGGCCATTCAGCAAGAAAATTCGCTTTTTTCTTGATAAGGATGCAGCAAGTAAATTGTAGGTATTACGCCTGTGACTCCTCTTCATCCTCATTTTTACTTGTTTTTAAAGGATGTTATGATGTTTTGCGCTTTGAATGAATAGCGTTGTTCACATCTTTAGTCATTACGCGCTTATCATAGTGTGTCCTTTTCGTACGCAAAATGCTCGTTTCATGTGAATGGCTCTTTGCTCTTTTCATGTGAATGGCTTTTCTTCTTTACTGTGTACTGGTAAAGTGCGAGATGTTTGTTCGTGTGTTTGTTTGAGTATTTATTCTTCTTTTAAGTGTATGCATTTTGCACGAATCAGCATAAATATAAACAACAGTCCATTGTAAATGTACTTATGTTCTATTGGAGTGTTGCCAAGTTTACTACCCTCTCTGTCAAACCGTCAGCTCGACTGGAAAGGTATCGACGGTAGAAGGGCGCAAATTCATCAACCCACACTTTTACAGTTGCCAAACGCTTTGGGGGTCCTTGGGAGGCGGTCAGCACAACTGCAACTTGACGTGGCGTCCGCGCGATGCAACGTGCGACAATGAGCGCGGCGGTTCTAGGAACAGTTCCACAAGGGGGTTAGGAACTGATCTTCCTGACTTACAAGTCGTCTTTCTTGTTCAGATGCTCTACTAAGAAGATGAGAGAGAGGGAGGAGAGAGAGAGAGAGAGAGAGAGAGAGAGAGAGAGAGAGAGAGAGAGAGGAGAGAGAGCGAGAGAGAGAGAGAGAGCAGTGTCATAATCCCAACGATTGCTCATTTGTAAGACGAGGGCATAGCCTGGATAGCAGTCAGGGCAGATTTCCCACCAATTATAAGGCTGCATTCATACTTCGCGACAGCAGCGGCGATCGCGGCGACCTCGGAGATCGCCGCGATCGTCGGTACGTGGCAGAGCGCGGCGGCCCAACGCTATTATGGACCGCTCGCTTGATAAATAAGGGAATCCGACTTGTGAGACCTTCTTTTCTCTCAGTAATGGCCACTAACTGATAACTTATGACTTTCTATACATAAGCGGATCTGGAATATAAGGTAAGAAGGTTTCACTTTCTTTTTAGGTCGGGATAAAGCCATCTCCATTTCTTGGGTGGGCTTCTTTTTGTTTCTTTTGCTTTTATTGTTTCAATTTATACAAGCGTTTTGAAAGTTCCAATCGTCTAAACTGTTTCAAATTCCAAAACGTTTATAGTTTACAAGTGGAATTCAAACAACGAAGAAATAAGAAACTGACCCAGGAACCAAAACACTAATTATTTTACGCAACATCAACAGGTGAAAACTTTATAACCTCATGTATAAGCTCGACGAATGAAAAAACAATAAAAACCTACCCTAAATGAAGCTCTCAAGATTTTGGTCATTTCTATCCTGAATCAAGAAAGAAAATAGAAAACAAAAGCTTTTAAGTAGGGTTCACCTTTCTTTGGTCAAACCAAGCTTCAGCACCAAAGAAAATTGCATAATGAAAAAAAAAGCATGAAATTGATTGCTCCTCCCCAAAAGCCTCCGGAGCGGCCCAAGTAGTAGCGTCGGGGCGCGGCTCTGCCATGTACCGACGATCGCGGCGATCGCCGAAGTCGCCGCGATCGCCGCTGCTGTGGCGAAGTATGAACGCTGCCTATTGGACTCAGAATGGCACCATTGTTGCAATAAGGGCGTCCTGGCTGCGTTCCGATATGCGCAGGGTCACACGCCCCATCGGTTGCAGGGATCATGAGCATGGATATTCGAGCGTCGACATTCGGCTGCATAGTATCCAATCGCCGTATGGCAAGCGAGATCGATGTCCACGCCCAACAGCGCGGCGGATTACGATTGTCTCGTCACATATCAGAGGTTCTCGAATAATACCACAGCATTTCCTTTACTTTTGTTGCTGGTGCCGATTACTATGCCGGGAAGAATTCGAACTTCTGCTGTTCTACCGCTCATTAGTTAGCCAGAGAATCTGCCTAAAGATTGCAGTAATTTAGGTCCTTGGTAAGGCAAATGTAACCCAGGAAACTGGAAATCAGGTGCGCGTGAAGGATCTGTTGGTCGTAATGTGTAATGAACGAACAAGTGTGGTAAGGCTGCTTCAAACTCTGTGGCAGCGCCCAACAGCAGCCATTTGCGTTCCAAACGTACGGCAGCGTCAGCGACTAGTAAAGTATAGATAACGATCCACCGTCTGCCAGCGTCTACCAGCGCTCACCAGCCACCGGGCGTAGGGAGTGTGGGGAAGCAGGAGGGTAGCAAACTGCCGGATTAGGCGTCGTGAAATTGCGGCTGTTCAGCTGCACCGCACAACTGCTAAAGCGCAGGGTTATGCAATTTAATGTTCGGTATGGTGTTGTTCACCATACTCTCTACTCCCGATTGCTGAGGAATATACCTGTTGCCAGCAGACTGAGACTAGAAACAGCCGACCCAATCCTGGTCAGTTTTGACACATATACTTCCCTAGCGCCCGAGTCCTGACAGACGCTGATGGACGATGGCAAACGCTGGTACACGCTAGATCGATATCTACACTTTCCTAGTCGCTGACGCTGCCGGAACATCGGAACGCTACTGGTCGCTGGTGGACGCTGGTAGGGCGCTGTTTATCGACGGGGGGGGGGTGTATTTTGTATTGTAATTGCTTCCCTGGTACCGGTTTACAAACTCACTCTGGTAAAACTTGTGAACACTTTTGAAGCTGGAGCAAGATCGTCTAGCCACCATCCTAAAAAGTGTCAACGCGAAAAAATGGTACCTAGATGGGTTGGCAAATCCATGAAAAGCAGAATGCCCTCCCCCCCCCCGTCAATAAACAGCGCCCACTGGTAGACGCGTGAACGCTGCCAAAGTATGAACGCAGCCTTATGATGCTATTACCCACGATCAGTCATCACACGTTATTTCTCCCCTTTCCCTTTGTCCCACTGTTTTTAATTATTCATCGGCCAAATGCCAGAAAGCTCACTGCCTTAAGATTGCAGCAGGCATTGGTTTTTCTTCCTTTTCGCTACTTTTCTCTGCGACCACAGTAGGCATGCAGCCCATGCCCTTGCCGATGGCTAGTGCCGTTTGGACTCCAGCAATTTCGCCACCGAGCTCATTTTCAAATTGTCTAACTCAGCAAATCCGCTAAAAACCTGTATTTAGGGGTAGTTTAACATCCTTATTACAATTATAACACTCACTCTTGCCACTGACGCTAATGGATGACACTACGATTATCTGCGCTCCGCTAAGGCTGAGCCCAATAGGTAATCGTAGTGTCATCCCTTGGCGCCAGCGCCAAGAATGAGTGTCATAATTGTAATCTCGACGGCAAATAACCCTTGTGTACATGTTCAGCGGGTTTGGTGATTTAAGCAATTTGAAAATGAGCTCGGTGCCGAAATTGCTGGAGTATAAACGCCATTAGCCCTTGCCGATTAGTTCCTCGGCGCCCGCTCGTGGAGAGACCCAACTAAGCACACCTAAGCAAGCCAAGTCGGACATGAACCTAAGAATGGTCATCCTCTGCTGCTAGTCAGCGCTACCATTTAGGCTGCTCTGCACCAAAGACTTGTGGAAGCTGTTGAAGAAAAGGGAGGGACGAGCATTTGTGCGCTTCCCTCATTGTAATGCGAGTCCTCGTAATGCTGAGGAAACGTACCAAAACATTGAAAAGAATGGCTGAATCACAGTATCCTATTCCCTATGCTCCTGACAGCCGCCTCCGGTTTTTGCCTGTTCCACCTCCTCAAAGATACGCTGCATGTCAGCTCCGATGATCCTGATCCTTGCAATGTAGCAGGTGGACGGGTCGGCAGCTGTAGAAGAGCGCCATTATCGTCACTCGAAAGTATGCGGAAATAAGGCTGGGAGGGTACAGAGAGCTGGATGCCATTTGGAGCTCTGCCTGCACACGCACCGCACTACCACCTATGCCTCATGTCACTCCAGTCGCGCTTCTTTTCTACACTTTACTCGCTTGATCAAGGAGCTATTGCTAGCTACGCTCAACCACGATATAGACAACTTGCCTCCCACGATGTTTGCCGTCGGACCTCGGCATCGACGCAGATGCTGCACGTTTGTGACGCCATGTGGAACCTAATGTCACACACCGATCACTACGCTCCCTCCGCATTTCCGCACCATTTCGAATGACGGACTTGCACGCTTCGACAGCCGTAGGCCCGCTCCCCACACGTGGCACGGATCCACCTCGCAGGTAAACGGCCACTTTTTTGTGAGAGATGGAGAACGCAGTGCGCTGGCGGGGATATCGAGTATTTCTTACCGATAGCATAAACAATCGTTCAAAGCACAAGCAGCTGGATGCAGGACTTTTCAGGGGCAGAATACACGAAGAGGTAGGTGGCTTCGTCGGCGAGGCTGCCTGAAACTGTAAGAGACATCAGCGGCAAATATGGAATGCTTCTTGAAATTTGCAAGTGAGTTGTAGAGGCTTTCTCATGGCCCAACTGAACAAGAAAACGGGCAAAAGGAAGGTTTGGTCAGCACCCACAAGACATGATTTCCCATCAGCTAGCTCGACTATGTGACAGGTAATGTACCATGCTTATACAGTCAAAATGCCCGATTTGCGGTAGGCGAGGCTGCGTACCTGGATTGAACGTTAGGCAGCTAAGCCTTTTGTAACAATGCCACGCCCACTATGTGTCAGGGATAAGAAGTGTAATAGTGCGCATTTGTCAAACTGGTCTGTCTTATGTTCAGAAGGGGAAGTGAATGAAATGGTTGCTACATTTGACTCTTTATGGGACCATCCGCCAGCGCCTCCCTGATTAAGGTACCTTCCTCTGATTAAGGTTCGTTGGTGAAAACTATGTCGGAACCATCTTTTGACGACTCTGGTGATCAAATTCTCCCCTACACCCCTCAACTATAATAGCGCCTATAACTCTTCAACTTCATTTCCATGCGCTCCCGAGCAAGAACGGCACACTTTTACAGCTGCGAACCTGATCATCACACCATGGGGTAGACTCGTACTTCAAGTAAGCGTACAGCTTCAAGGTTCTCTTGTGGAGTATGTGACAAGGTAATCCTAATCAGGCACATCATTGGTTGCGGATTTTGGATGAAGTCCTACAACCCCCCCCCACCCCCTCCCCCCCCTTTGGCGGGGGGGGGGGGGAGGAGAGGTTATAGCACATGTGAAACAGCAAAAGCCGCGAAGGGCCATCAACCGGGACCAATTCCCCCTAAGGCTGTGTTTACACTTTGCGGCAGCGTAGCGTAGCGCAGCGCTTCAAGCGTCTCACTAGCGTTTCGCTAGCGTTTGCAGCGGGGCTAGAGAGGTACAAAATGTTACGCTGGACAGTATAGAAGAGTAGGCGAGTATTTTGTACTCTCCTACTCTTCTACACTCTCTAACCCTGCCGCTGCAAGCGCTAGCGAAACGCTAGTGAAAAGCTCGTGAAACACTGGTAGCGCTAGATCGATACCTATAGCCCTCGCCCTCGCTACGCTGGCGTACGCTGGAAGCGCTGCGCTACGCTACGCTGCCGCAAAATATAAACGCAGCAAACTTCTCTCAGAAGGCAAATACCCCTCCCCTCCTCCTCGTCCCGTAGTTTCCGTGAAACAAGAGAAATCAACTATAAAAAAAATTTCAGACTGAATACGACCTCTCTCCCCCAGCCACCAAATACGACCCACCCACCCCCCCCCCCCTCACACTACCGCGGAACCCTCAACGATGATGTGCTCTGATTCTAATTCGTAGCGCTGTGTCGCGTAGGACGTCGCGCCCACTATTAGCGATGTTTTACATCGCTGATTGGGATAATAGGTGATGTATAGCCAAAAATAGCAACGAGTGCCTGCGATGTCGTAGTCTACGCGAAATCTGGTGCTCCTTAACAGGCTAACACAAATTACAAAAATGCTGCGCGTAGGAGGAGCGGCAAATCACGATTGTCCTGACCGCCTCCCTTGTTTTAGTACGAGCCCATCCAGTCAATCTCAAAGATTTTGATCTGCAATCTCTTAGAGGGCCAATAAGTAAACTGATCTTTCTGGACTTTAGCCACTCTTCTAATCCGACGAACAAGTACGCGAATGTATAAGTCACTGCCAAGGGTTTATTTCAGGTAAGCCCTCATCCAAGAACTCACCCACGTGACTTATCCCGGGGATCGATCAACACTCGATCAAATGATGATTTTCCCGCCATCTGCTGTCTTATGGCTGTTTCTCGGGGCGTGGGGCGGATCTCAGTTGTGTATTAATCCTCCGTAATGTACGGCTTCTTCCTCTTTGTATTACTCGTTGTTGCTACACCTATCGCATCAAATGCGAAGGAATTACCCGAAAAGTTCTATGGCAAATATGATTTGGATCATTCGGAGAATTTTGACGAATACTTGGAAGCTAAAGGTACTCACTTGTTTGTCGGCAGCGATCTGGTACACCAACTACTGATGAATTTTTTGAATCCTTTCTCAGTTTACCTATGAGCTACACGTCTTTTCTACTTTGGTTCAGGTTACGGCTGGTTCACACGGAAACTGGTAACTTTTGCTACATTCAAAAAGGAATTCAAGAAGAGCGATAAACCTGGCAAATTTGACTATGCTAATTTAACTTCAAAGAAGAATGTTTATTATGAGAATATCGAACTAGGAAAGGAATTTGTCGGTGAAGGACTCGATTCCACTAAGCATAAGGTTTGTTCGGTACATCTTGCAGTTGTTCATTGTTTACAATTTTGCTATGGATTGATTCGAGCAAAAGGTTAATGGGGTGGCAGCTGACGGCAGCAGCGCTTTGGAGTAGGACAGACGCAACACAATGATATACTGGAGTAATGAGTTGTTTTTAGATCACATTCGATTTGGTTGGAGACGTTCTGTTCGAAAAACACCATCCCATCGAAGAGGGAGAAGCTAAGGATGAAACATACGAGTACTCTTTCACTACGAAGGACGGAAAGGAATATCTTCTTGTGGTGAGTTTTTATTCTTTCGAGCAATATTGGAAGAGGGATGGGGGTGGGCATGTAGTGGTTGCTGCTGCAGTGGCTGGGGCGTGTCACGATGGCTACGTCTGGCGCGCCCCTTTTTTACCGGTTGTTTCCGCTTGCCCTCTTTAGCAGCTGCTTGTGAACGGGCTGGCCCCGTCCGCACCCCCCCCCCTGACTGGCATGTCCCAGCGTCTGCGGCATAAACGATTGTAGACCTATCATGGAAGTGATGCTGAGGCAATTTGCGCACGTATCTGTTGGGTCATAGTATTGGCGCAATTTCTGTGCTGATGTGCTTCTCACTGCGAATACCGCGTCATGCATACATGGCGCCGAGGAAACCAGGCCGACTCGTACACCCCCCCTCAATGGGTGTCTCCAAAGACTCATTCTTCCTTAGAAACGGGAAGCTGGACGAGAAAGCCGTTCGTAGATGTTCGTAGATCTTCACCTCTTGAGGTCCTGATCTCCTTAGCATTTGCGAAGTAAGCGGATCCAAAGCTGTAGAAGTGTGCTCGTTTCTTTACACCAAGTTCACGAAAATGAGGCTGGATAGTAGTGGTAGCGGGGAGTTTGGGGTTCCACTTATAAGGAAACCACGCATCGCCTGACACGCCGCATTGCCAGCCAAGACGATAGCGCTCATTGTCTGCGCCTCTCTTGTTCAGTTAGGGTGATGTGGTTCTTCACACTTAGCAGGCAGCTTGCCGTTCATGTAGTTCCCCGCGGAATTTTGGATTATCGCACAGGCTGCACGTTGTGGACGAGGGGAGGAGACCAAACGGCAACCATCTCCCATTGCGCTGCAGCCCCATTTGGGCATTACTTTCAAATGACGAAAATGGTTTATCCTGCAGCAGGACATGGTCACCTCGCACATGGCCGAATTCACCTCGGAGCGTCACCTTTAATGCCCCTGAGGTTCTATTCGACGGCACTAAACCATTCGTGTAGGTGGAAGAACCGAGACTTTCCATCTATTTTTGCTTGTTTTTCTGGTCGTTGGTGTGCTTCAGGGGTAATAGCTCCAGCTGTCTCTCATGATAGCGATCCCGACTGCTACCCGGTGTTTGGTGGATCTTGGTGACGTGATGTGATGTTCAGGGGGGGGGGAATATCACCTCCTCATTATCGACTTCTTCCCAGAGCCTCTTCACTCCTCAGAATCTTCAGAATCTTCACTGTAATCTAATTAATCCTCCCAGTGGCTTTTTAACGAATGTTTTTTCCACGAAAGTACTATTGATCATTCATCAGCCGAATTTGATGGCAACAAAAAGAGCCCATCAAGAAGGCTCTGTAAACGGCAACTAATCACCTCGGTGCTCGCTCTGTTTCTTTGTTTTGAACTAGCTTCGAATCGGGCGATCAAACGTTGAAGAGGATTCCCTCTTGTAAGTGAGCTCAATATATCCGTGAGGTTGTGGAAATTCAAGCATCTGAGAGCTCATTCATATTCTCCATGAAATGAGCGCAAGAGCTGTCACAGCTGCGCTAGGGTCTAGGCCGAGTAATTCCCCACAGAACCTCTATGAACGTCTGGAAGGAACCGGTGTGCTGAATGACTAGCAGGTTCTTAAGCTAAGGGATTCTCCCCTTCTGCTTTGACACCCACGATGAAGCCCCTAAAAACTCCTGGACAGGTGGGGACTTCACGGAATGGGACTTGTGTACTGTATAATTACTATATATGATTGTTTCGTAAATATCCAAAACATTGCCTGAACTAATAAACAACCTGTTAGGTTTGCTACCAAAACTAAATGCTTTTTTCAGAAAATGGAAGCCAATGGAGTTGTTGGCAAGCGGTTCTACAAACGCATTTGAACGATTGTCTGTGTTTCTATGTGCTTATAAATAAATGTGTGCCATATACTCTGTACTAATGAATAGTCAAATAGATGCTGTTCTTGGGACTAACGGACGAGAGGACAAGACATTTGTAATTTAGGGTATGTGGCAAGAGAATTGTAATCCGCCGCGCCAGTGACCGTCGCGTGCGACGTCGCTAATGACGGCGATTTCAGGTGGTATTAGTCGAGATGGACAACGTATGACCAAAAACATACATGAATGTCCACAGTGTGCTTGGCTACATGGAATCCGATGCTCCAATCGAAAGGGTAGTGCAAGTTGAGCAAACGACGCGCCCATTGCCGCGCGCGACGAAGCGGCAATTTACGATTCTCTTGCCGGTTTCCCCCTAGTTTATCGCTTTTGCCGCGCACGCCGTATCATGCGGCGATGGTTCGGGAATCCCCAACAGGGGGGTCGTATTTGGCCGCCAGGAGGAGGGGGGGGGTCGTAGCGAGTGCGGCAGCCAGTAACGAGCAGCGCAAATTGTCAATGTGCTGAGTCCTGTACAACGAAACTTGCTTTGTAGAGAACTCGGAATTGCAAAAAAATAGTACAAAACTTTCATTCTCATCAAACTAATTCGAAATAAGTGCAAATATTAATAAGTCGACATTATCTCGTAGGTCCGTTGGTGACTAAACAGTAACTCAAACTCTGGTTCGCTGCCAATGATATGGCGTGTCCGCGGTCGCGCTTGGCGCTGAGCCAACCTGTTTTTTTCTCGACAAGCGACAGGACTACCATATCGTTCATATCAGACGTTTTCCAGCAGTTGGTCTCCTTTATCGGAGTCAGCGATTGGGCGGAGCACGAATCTGGCAGCGTTGACAGGGACATGTTCCATCATACGCAACGGAAAACACTGTAAACAAGTGCACAGGCTCGCCATGGATCTCCCTGTACCCTATAGACATATCTGCTCGCAGTGAACAGACATTACGCACAAGTTGCACCATCCCATCACCTCTGCGCGGCCCTCAGTGCGCGGCGCATACAAAGTCAGCGGTGATCGGCGCTAAAGAACCATCTCCTGCTCCTGCTCCACCACAGGATACGTTCTACATGCGTTCCTGGCTATTCGAACACGCTCACTTGAAAATGGTACACAGGAAACGGGTTTTTCGCGCAGCTGGAGGTGTTCCTCCAAGATCCGCCATAGCGAGATCTCATGAATCCGCGAGAGCTTCAGAAACAGTTTCAGAGGTTTTTAGAAAGAGAAAATCTTCAAACACTCGAAACCATTCTCAGATTTGTGAAATGTTGAGTTACAGAAAAAAATATATTGATTCAATAGAACACAAAGAAACGATAATTGATTCAACCTGTTCGGTTGAAACCACTCCCCAAGAATCCCTAATGGCAGATTTCTCTGTGATTTTTGCGACGTTCATAAACGTTTTAGTACTCTTAGGAAGTGAAACCTTCTTTACACGAATACGGTCTCCTCTTTCCCACAGGTCCGCTTTGAGGAAGTTATGGTCCTTTAAAGACACTAACTCAGCTGGAAATTCTCGCTCCATGGCTAAAATTGCCGAATAATCTCCGTGTCACAGCCGCAATTACATGCGCTTCTGCTACCGTACTCCACATAATCGGGGTAATGCATTTTTACGGCGGTTTGTGTAACTGTTACGTAGTGAGACAAGCCTAACTTTCTCTTTTACTCGTCCTCAGTCTTGGGAATAGACGTTGTTAACACTGTGGTGCTGATGGCCGCTCCCAGAGAGGGAGTCCACCTCAGGTTAACGAATGCTCATTGAATTTAATCGCGATATATCGTTATTATTACCATGTGTGTTTCAAAACGGCCATCGAAGAAGTTCATCATACGAGTTTCTCATAATACGATTGTACCGTTTTTTGTTTGCAATCATCTCTGTATTGTTCTATTATGTCATGACTTCAAGTCGTCCATTTAGTATGGGGCTTCATACAAGTAGAATTTCATAGTGGGCGTTTCATAGTTTCATTTAGCGCGAAAAAACCGAACGGCAAAAAAGGGGGTCGTACCGAACCCCAAAAAAAGGGGGGGGGTCGTACAGGCTCGACCAAAATCCCCATCGAATGCTGTGCCCTGTGCGCCGGCGAATTCTCGATGTGCATCGGTTTTTCGGTAAAGCAGCGGAAACTTGTACAAATTCAAGCCTGGATAAGACTGAATGGGCGATATTGGATTTTCCTGCCCCTTTCCCACTCAACTTCGGGTGTATCTCGTTTGGCGTGATCTACGAGCCGGAAACGTGTCCGACCATGCCGGACGAGTCGTCTCCTAGGGAGGGCAACTCGTTCAAAGCCTCAAGCCACAACTTTTTCCCCCGTCTGATCAATGGGAGACGCCTTGGATGAAAAGTAGAACACCGCGGATAACCCTCACGTCATTGTAGTCTGCCAGTTACGAGAACCTCGCAAGCTAGTAATTCGGACGAGTTGTCGAACATCGTGGAAATATGTTACTCGTCATAACAAGTCGTTACTTGTCATAACAAGTCAATTGTAATGTGATCGCGCCAAACGACCGTCTCCCCTCAAGATGGCTAGGCAGGACAACTCGTCTCGCGGGTGAGTCGCCGCTTGCCACGCCCACCAGGGCGGCATATTACGATTGTCTTGTCACTCATGGGCACAGTATGCTCAGTGCACGCTGTCAGAGTTGACTCGCTGAGAGCGTCGGTGAAGGGTAGGAGTCACTCGTTGCTACTGAGAGAAAGGGATCACGTCTGACTAACTGTAAGTCGAGAGGGATGTGCATAAGAAAGGTAAGAGGCTGTAATTGTTCACATTCCAGGTCTGTCACTTTCACTCCACTGAGGGTGTTCAGCTTGCAATATCCTTAGCGCAGTGAACAGAGTCCCAACAAGGCTAGGTCGTGACAAGAGAGCTTTATGGAGGTCTCATCTTAGAAGTGAACTCCTCAAGGACATCTGTGAGCTATTCCCGTACGTCTTGACCCATTGTGCAAAAGTGCATTTTTTTGTTGGCAGGCACATATGGTCGAGGCCGTTTCTGCTCGCTCCGCCACGTGCAGCCCGCTGCTGTAAACAAGTATTGCGACCACCATTTGTATTTGCATTGTCGTACAACAGACTGCCAGTAATAAAGCGGGTGAATGATTGCCGCTGTAACACCCCGAGTCAGTGCCTAACTGCCTGGTAGTGTGATCATTACTGTTTACAATCAGAGTTGCTCGACTTGGTAGTTTCTTCTTATGGACACGTTTTATAATTGTACAGTATAGATAGGTGGGTTGAGAAACAAAAGTGCACGTGCTAATTGAGTTAAACTTTAGTAAGAAAACAGATGAACTCGTCAGAAACGTCCCAAATAACATCTCGCTGACAGGATAGAGAGGATGAAGGGAAGATTCACTTGGATTTGAGGCGAGACCAGACAAGACACCTAAGGCCGCGTTCACAGCTTGCGTGAAGATATGCAGAAGTGCGGAACCTGCAGAAAAGCAGCAGATACTTGTCGACTCGAAGAAATGCAGAAATGCCGAAACTGCAGAAGTGCGGAAAGTGCAGAAATGACGGAAAGCATTACATAAGTATCGTTCTGAAGAAATGTAGAAATGCCGAAAGTGAAGAAGTGCGGAATGTGCAGACGTGCAGAACCTGCAGAAATGACGAAAAGCCATTCATACGTATCGATTTTCCGCACTTTCGGCATTTCTGCAGATTTCGCATTTCTCAAGATCGATACGTATGTAATGCTTTTCGTCATTTCTGCACTTTCCGCACTTCTGCAGTTTCGACATTACTGCAAGTCGATAAGTATCTATTGCTTTTCTGCAGATTTCGCACTTCTGCATTTCCCGAATTTCTGCATTTCTTCACGAACGCAAGCTATGAACGCGGCCTAAGGGCGCATACGAACGAGAGAGGCGACAGACGCCAACTGCCGTTAGGTGGAGTCATTTCATGAACTTCCCGTTTTAACGCCCTTACCGGTCTCTCAGCAATTTTCGATACAAAGGATGTGATTTTTAAAAATTGTAGGCTATGTCCTCAAAAAAGAAGAAGCGAGTAATGTGTAGACTAAAAATAATTTCGCTCTGAACTCAGCTCAGCCGACAGGTGTCTAATTCAGTGCCTAGCGTCTGCTGAGGAATCCTCAACGGGTTCGTCGAAAAGGGCTGGGGAGGGGGGGGGGTCGTGTTGGAGGAGTCAGTAGCCAACAAAGCTGTTGCGACTCGAGAATGGGACAGGGGTAAAAAGGAAAGTAATGAAGCGGTAAATTTGATGACCCAATTTAGTGAGAACACTTGTCAAATTATATCGTTTCCAGGTAAAATTGATACTAAAACAGGAACATAATAGAAATCAGAAATAGCGAGCTCCGTAGTTCCCAAAGTTTTTAGCCCTTCTTTAGAAGCTGCGTATGAATGAAGTCACACTCTTCTAGAGGAAGAAAAGCTGCACGCAAACGGTAGCGCCCTCCTTGTAGGGAAAAAATCCTCAACGACGATTTGTTAGAGACATTTATGACAAATTTAGTATCAGTCTATTGGGCTTTTCTGAGACACTACGAAATGCTCTTATCGCTTTACAAAATATTGCCTCTAAAGAAAGTTACGAGCTTTTGAAAAAAACTGTAAGGCCCGACCATTGTAATGACGCGCTCCAACACCAAAACGCGACACGGCCAGAGCAAAACCAGCCACACTACATCCCTCCGAAGCTTGTTATTCCGTTCTCTTTTCGTTTATTATGAATAGACGGGGTGGTGCTAACGTATTAGAGGGCGGGACCACGCAACACGCTGCTCTTCTGCCCCCCCCCTCGCCGAGATAGCATCCCGCGTATTTGCTTGGGATTCAGTCAGCATTCTTTCAAGGTCGTTTAGTAACTGCAAGGGGTAGAAAATGATGTTGACACTGTCATAGGGTGATCAACAAGCCTAGGCATTCAGCGCTGAAAAAAAGCGAAGAAGCACCTGCAAACCAGTAGATTTGAAATTTCGGCTATGCCTAGGAGAGGAAAAACTTTTGGGGTGAATGCACCCGATCACTTTTGCGAAATACTACCTTCATACAAAAGCCTTGGATGTTCCGCAGAAGCTTGAAGTCACCTTCACCCCAATAACGCCCTACTAAAATAGACTGGCAGAAGATTATCAGCAAAAGCCATGTTTCCGACAAATTTCGTACGTGCGAATCACCTTTGTATTCGAAACTGATCAATTTCGTTTTGATGTATGCTGGAAATCCTTTATAAGTTGTTTCAAACACTATCGCGGCGAGAAGGGAGCAGAAGAGCAGCGTGCTGCGTAATCCCTCAAGTACGTTAGCGCCAAGGGGATCGTATGACACCCACTTTTGAGGTAGGGTCATACAAGAGATCAATTTCCTCAACGTGATGCTTGACCTTGTTGGTGTATTCTTTTATCTTGGCTGCTTAATTTTAGGTCTGATTTTATGAATTGAACATTTCTAGAACTAAGTGGTTGTAGCCATTAGTGGTTACAAAACCCACAACAAAAAAAAGGAATGAAACGTTTAATAAGTGCTGAAAATGACAATGATCAGAAAGGCAGGCAAAAAGGATGTTACTTCTTCTCTCGCTTGAACCAACGGCGGCAGGTTATTCCGTGATTCTCCATTTTCTGAAATAAAGAGTTTACTGAAATGATCTTCACATGTGGATATGGAGCTAGCACGGCGCGATTCGGGAATCGCTCCAGTCGCGGAATATGAACTCATCCTTAGCTGAACTTGTCTGCCTCGACTTACGGTTTGAGAAGCCAGATAAGTTTATTAACTTATGCGTCAAAAAGCGAGAACGCGAGACAGGATGCATAAGGCAGCGTTAGGCTCAGACTCGGTGAGTCTATCATTACAACAGTGCTCCAATGCTAGAGACGAGAACGCAGCGAAAGACGCGTATCGATGGCGGTCGCTGCTGCTTTGACAGGGTACGGAAAATACGAGGGTGCGCAGGGTATGCGTTGCGTGATCACACGGCCTGGTACTGGTCTGTTCTTCCATACTCTCCAGCAACACTGGCGGCCGGCGCTGATCGATACCCGTCTGTGGTCCCCGTCTATAGTATTGGAGTGCTGTAGCAACGGCAGCGTGTCGTCGCAGGCGAAGTCTGAACGCTGCCTAAAGAGTGCACTAGTTACCGTATTGACTCTGAACATGCACTTTCTCTCTGTCTTAGGACTAAGGCCCTGCAGCGCATTCACTCAGTGGTGACGACAGGTGGAATGGTCGATCCCTGTCGTCGTCAAGTAGACCGTAGCCTGACCAAACTTATTGGCAACATCTAGGTTCCCCAGGTTACTAAAGTTCACCCAAGCTAACGCGCGCATTAATGCATAAGAGCAATCTTCAATAGCTCATTCACCATGAGGAACCCCGATAGCTTCCTCATATTGAATATGCGGTTTTTCAGTTGTTTTACTGTACTCCAACATGCATTGTCTGCTTAATATGCTCTGACACGCCATGGAGCAACTCTCCTTACTAACGAGGAGAAAAAGGAGTCATTAAAAGTGTTACCAGCTTACCAAAACAAGTTTGTCATCCTCATCGATGTTATAGTAATACGTTTCCCCCTTGTCATTTGGATCGTTCAGCCGCACATGTTTTTCTGTGAGGGTATCGTTTTCAAAGTTGAAGGTGATCTGAATATTTCTATAATAATGTACTTGCTCTCAACAAAATTAGAAATAGAAGGGTCCTTAAAGATGAATATTGGAAATTGTACTCCACAGTTGTTGAGGCTACTCTCACATACGTAGCTCATCCATTTGAGAGTGACCTTTGTTGGGCTCCGCGGAAAAACACGCCGGCGAGCGCACGCGTCGCGTTTTTTTTTGTCGGCGCAACTGTGACGCGGCGAAAAGGAAACGGTAGCCAGCACTGTACCACTGATGTCTTACGACAGTGAACTTCCTGGCTTTTGCTGATGAATGTTAATAACAATAGGGCTAAGGAGAATGCAAGAAATAATGAAAGAGGACTGATTTACAACACTAGGACATGAAAGCTACTGAAAAGCATATCCATATCCATATCCGTTGGCAGACCATTTCTCAAGAAATATGCTGTTTCCACCGTGATTAGAGATTGCATTCACTACAGCGCGCTAGCTCTAGGGACTAAAGGCGAACGTGGACTGATAAGGAGCATATCTATCAATTTGCAGTGATGGCAGCGCCTGCAAGTGTCCACTCCTTCGCTGCACCACCGCAGTGACATCACGCGGCACGCGCCGCTTGCGCTCCGCCGCTGACTTATTCGCTCCCCTCATTCCTGCATGCTCCCCTTGTGAAATTCTTTATCGCAAACTGAAAAAGAAGCTGTTGCCAGGGCACTGATAGGTGTGAAAGAACGAATGGCGAGCTAAGAGACGGACTTTGCCTCAACAGGAGGTGGTTCCGGTGTTCAAATATCAACCATGAAGGACATATGAGTCACTGTCACCGCGAGAGCGCAAAGAATATCACAAAACTGAAGTGATTGAGGGGAACTAATTTTACTTATCTGTAGACCATAATGGGACTCACGTTGTGCCGTACGTCATCCATCCCATCTGCTTCGAATGTTTCACCCAGTTTCCAGCCATGATAGAAGGTGTTCTTCTTTGATGTCAGATTGTCCAAGTTGTACCTGAATGATGACAATTAGAGAGAACGATTGTCGATTAGCAAAGCTAAGCCATACGATGAAAAATCGTACAACAAGCAACTGCACGTCAAAGCGTTTACACTACCCAGAGACTTCGTTTTTGGCGATAACCTTGGTGACACTGGCAAATTGTATCATCTTCCTCAAAATCCAGTTTACACCTGTAACTTTTAGAGTTCAAATATTGAAAGGGAAAAAAAATGAAAATTTAGAGCTTACCCTTGGCTGCGAGGAATTCATCGAAATTTTCACTTCGTTCAAGAACAAATCGACCAAAAAACTTATCCGGGATGGTCTTTTCCATCTGGGCCGGAAATACATGAATAATACAAAGAGACGTGAGAAATATGAAGCTTCGCATAGCGCTAGTTGCACCGAGGAATGGAGGAATTATAGCGCACATTTGTCTCCCAAGCTCTATCTCACCAATCAATCCTCAATCTCACTAATCAATCAATACGACCTCACAACTGACACTTAGACAATAATAACCCTCAGGAGCACGACCTACAGAAACTAAGAGAGGATACAAAATGAAGGGCTAATAACAACACTTCAACGCTGTTCACTCGTCATTTCATTAACAAACCAAGAGGAAACGTATATAAAAATGCACTAGTTACAGAAAACAGCCGATTAGGTAGTACCAACTTTACTCAACAAGTATATCATACCTACGAAATTCTAGCAAAGAAACGACCATCATGACCCAGAGAGGTGAGGATGGTTACCTAGAGGGAAGTAATGGGACGTTCCACGATTACCGAACTACTGGGTGGTCCCGGAAACAGCGACGGTTCTTTCGTAAAGTTATTGCTAAGAATTAAAACCCTTGATCGGCATACTTCAAACGATTTCATAGTGAACTTCACGCCACGAGAAAACAACCTTTCCCATGCTTTTTCAATTTTTCTGATTTTCGCTCATCACAAGCTGTCAAGCTGACAAAAATGACTGCAAGCCAAGTTCACCAGAAGAATGAACGACGTTTCAGAGAGCATATTGCACACCAACCCTTGCCCGGCTGTTACCGATAACATGCGGTTATTTGGCGCGATCGATCTTTTGTAAAAATACCACCCGCCATGCGTGTAATTGCACACAACAGGGGCTACAGTAGGCTCACGCCTAATATTATTGTGGGGTTCCATTCAGCACCTACAGCTTGAACTACATGAACGGCAGAGTGGTATACAAGATTAGGTGCTGAGACCAGTTATCCTGGAGTGCTACTCAGTCAAGTAGTGGTTATTGTTACAAAATGATTTTAGTAAGGATGTGTGAAATTGAGCACCGCTCCGATTTCTGAGTTAACCTCGAGCGTTCTCACTTCTTAAAAGGAGAGTTAATTAGACGTCATCCCGACACGACGGTGCCCTGCTGATCCCTACTTACGGACTTATTCGCTGCGGATGAAGGGGTGTCCCAGGTGAGGGCGGGTTTGGCGCGGCGCCAAAACCGTTGCCCACCAGTTGTTGAAACGAGCAGAACATTTTATCATGTCGTTCGTATCAGTTGCTTCTCACCAAATGTTACCGCTTACCCGCTTCAACAAGTTGTGCAGAACTGGTCTGGCACCGCGCCAAACCAATCTCGCCTGGCACGCCCCTTCATCCGCGACGAACAGACTGACGAATAAGTTAATCTCCTTCAAAAAGCAGGGTAGTAGTAAGAGTGATTACCCTTCACTCGATGATTACAAACACGTTGCAGACCCATATACGTACATTATATTCTCGATCGCTGCGAACCTTGGGGTGTTCCAGGGGGAAGGGGAGAAGGGCTGGACGTGACGCGCCGCCAGCCAGCTTTCCACCATTGTGGTCCATACTAGCTTCTACAATTGGTGGGGAAAGGGCTGGCACTGCTCCAAAACCAGTCCACTGGCCCGCCCCAGCGAACAAGACTGTATGTGCGATAATGCGTGCTGATCTCATGGTATTCAATAAAAGAGTATTGTCAATGATCTTGCCAATAGCACATTTCCACAATGATGGGCGTTATAGAGGTACCGAGTTGAGTGCTTACTGCGGGATGACTTCTGTACTTTGCAATATTTATTGAAAATACATGCAATACAACACCGGAATAAATTATGACCAAGTAATCAATATTGAGGTGACCACGAGTTTGTTTCTCTTCGATTGCCAAAGCAAGATAAATTAGACTGACGTCTTCGAAGTGCAATGAAAACCCATAGCAGCGTTGCTAATGCAGTAGCAATAACCAAAGCTAGACCTATTCCCAGAACAATTCTTGGTAATTCAGTCGTATTAAAATAGATGTAGTCATGAGCATAGTCACGCATTGAGATTTGAATTTCAAGCCAAAATGTTGGAATAAAAGAGTTGTACAGTTGTTTGCATTCACTGAAATAATATAAATTGCATCTACATGAGTGCAACACAAAAATACATTGAAAACTAGAATAGTAATCGAAAAGTTATATATGACATGGTAGTAATGTTAGGCTGTCCCGCACATCTCGAATTTTTAACTTGTTCAATTTCCATTTTTTAAACTATGTTTGACAAACCGTATAGTTACGATCCCTCCGAGCAATGATGAGGGTGACGAGGGCTGGCTTGGAGCGGAGCCAGGGCTTCCCACCAATTGTAGCCGGCGCACGATGGTATCATTGGTGAAAAGGCCACCCTGGCAGCACTCCAGTCCACGCCCCCGTCACACACCCTACCACTCGCAAGATTTACGACTGTACAATCACTTTGGTGGCAGCTGCTGGATGGGCAGGCCTTCGCGCACTTGAAGGTAAGGTCCGCTATCAGACATAGTAGTTGAAAATATGGTGTCGGAAGGGTAGTGTGGTCCGTGACGAACAACCTTGTACCGGTTTTGCATCAAAAAGTTGTGAGGGAGGGGCGCTATAGCGCAATATAGGTTCAGTGACGGCTCCTTTTTTCCAGTGACTCCGCCTCCAGACTCCGCCCTCAAGCTCACCTTCCAGTGAAAAACGAAGCTGCAGGACGAAAAAGCATGTAGAGTGTTACTCGAACGGACGTAGAGCTCTTATCGGGGAATCAGGTGTGCGGACGAAGGCGTAATGTTGAAGATGCAGGTACAAACTGGCATCGGAATGGGGTCCTATTTAGAGTAGTCGGCACGTTATTTTTCTACTATTTTCTTCACTATCGATGGCGAGTGATTGCGGGCTTTGCCTTTAGCAAGGAAATGGATTGAACTTTCCATGGAACTTTGAATGGAGACCCAGGTACATCGATAGAGCCTCGAATGCTGATTACGAATATGCAGATTAAAAGTGCTACGGGCACCTCCCAGACGAGAACTGGGAGAACTGGGTGGTCAAAGTTTGTTTGGCTCGTAAGCGCTGCTGATCGATACCTCGGCGGTGCCACCGTGGCCTCGTGGTAATGGTCTCGCTTTCAAGTCAAACGCATGCGGGTTTGCATCCGGCTGCCAAGAAGACTTTTGCTTCGCTCCGTATAAGTGCTTCAACTCTAATTTTCAAAATTCTCCCGAATTTACGGCCCAGCAGGCAAGTAGTTCATGTACATCAAGTATATGACGTACTCAATCTAGTATGGATTTGGTCATATCTGCCTCTCTGAACATATTACCCATCCGGCAATTCAAAGTTTTGCCCAGAATCGCAATTTGGCGCAGAGCGTTTTTTCGTCGAAGGAAGTGGTATTCGTGTTCAGGGGTCGAAACCTCTCATGAACGAATTTCTCGCTAAAACTTTTAATTGTCGGATGGGTAATATGTTCAGAGAGGACAGATAAGACCATCCATACTAGATCGAGTACGTCATATACTTGTTGTACTTGATCTACTTGCCCTGCTGGGCCGTAAATTCGGAAGAATTTCGAAAATTAGACTCTGTAGGGCTCTTATACGGAGCGAAGCAAAAACTTTCGCGCCAACCGCAAACGCATGCGGTTGACTTGAAAGCGAGACCATTACCACGAGGCCACGGTGGCACTGCCGAAGCATTGATCAGCAGTGCTTACGAGCCAGGACTCAAACTTTGACCACCCAGATCTCGTCCGGGAGGTCCCCGTAGCACTTTTAATCTGCATATTCGTAATCAGCATTCGAGGCTCTATCGATGAATCTAGGTCTCCATTCAAAGTTCCATGGGAAGTTCAAACCATTCCTTTGTAAGACACGCTTAGCCTACCGAATACATCCTTTTTCATTTCCAGTTCTCTAGGGGCGATTAAATCGCCTAAAAGCCACGGTCCGCGATAAGGAGCGTAGACTAAGATGTTAAGATGTTGAAATATGGAAGAGAATTCAATTATGGACTGCCTTGTGAAGGGAAAACGCCAAAAACATCGAAAACGCCCCTATTATGACCAGGGCACGCCATCGCGTTGTGATACATTACTGCTAAATATGACCCCCCCAAGACAGGATTCGATACGACCCCCTGTCCATTGCTAATGCCAGTTAGAAAGTAAAAACATCGAAAAAAAATGAAAGGTTTGCGAAAATAAAATTCAAAAAAGACGCGAAGGTAACCAAGCATAATTTGTGGAGAGCAGGAAGAAAATGAGTTCACATAGAAAAATGATGCAAAAGATTGGGAAAGCATCATAATAAGACGCAAAAAAGGAAGAAGAAGGGAAAGTGCCTGTACTAGCACTTGAATATTAATTGTTCGCGGTCATTCAAATTTGAAGCTGAAGTAGAGCGCGCTTTTTGCCTGGTATTGGAGCGAGCTATTTACTAGCTACTGTAGGACCCCTCTAACCTCAAGCAAAAACAAACGGGTAAAAGAAGAGACCGCGTTTAGGGGCGACCCTGAGCAGGCGCTGCGTAGCTCCTTTTTCAAGGAAGGTACCCTTGTTACGACCCTAGCAAGCTACAACATACCGACCCGAACGCCCACAAATGGACAACCGTACCTGGTACTCGTATTGCTTCATTTGATAAGCAAAATATGAAGCGAAGGCATTAGTATGAAGCGGCTGGGTGCTGCATGGATACACGGGTACATATGTGCAACCGTACTTACCGTAGCGGTTATTGGCAAGATGCCTACGGGAAACTCGTCCAAAATTGCTATTTAAGCCATTAGAACGACGGCTTTGCTTCGCAGGTTTTCGACCGTTTCACTTCGTTTTTTCTCCAACTCCCACAATATATAGCGCCCTACTAGCATTTTAGGCACCCAATTATCGTGCCAACTGCCTTAAAACTACGGATGCAGGGGCACCGAGGAACTTACGTGAACAATTGATGATTATAAATTGGTACAGAGAGCTGCATTCGGAAGTGACCACCCACCGTTGAACCAGTCATCTAAATTATTATTATAAAATTTTATACTTCAGTGCCTAGATATGCAAAGTTTTTCACCGCTTGAATATCGAACTCTGCTGGTTCGTGTAAGGATGGGTTCGCATTCAATCCATAAAC